TTTTTGAAATTTTTTGCTAAGAAATCTAAATTTTTTGTCTTTTTAGGGCTTGTAGTAGCTTGTATATGATGACAGAATAATGCCAGATAAGTAACTTTTATATAGGCACCGGTTTTTTTATTGCAATTTGAAGAAAATCAAAAATTTCACGATCTTATCAGCCTTTCCCATGTTTTTTTGATTTCTTCAGTCTAAAAATCATTTATTCTGCACTACTCTTCAATTTTCCTTTCTGAACGACGTATTTTACCTTCCTTTTAACTTATTTTTATAGCAAATTTTATAAGTAATTTTTAATTCCTGCACATTTCCTCCCATTTTTCATCATTTTTCGTGTTTTTCTGTGATTTCTCAATTTTTTATTACCTTGAAATTGCCTACCCAGTGCTTCGAAGACCATGTAATTTCTTTACGGACCTATTTTACCTACTTTTTATCTTTGAAAAATACGAATTTTTCAGTTTTTTGTCAATTTTCTTAGAATTTTTATCCTTTTTTACCCTCTTCCTCAAAAATCACAAAAAAATCGCTCGTATTTTTCCACTTTTTTACCCCCCAGTACTTCCCAAATCCCTGCGTCGTATTTTAAACCAAGAATTTTCGCAAAAGCCCGCCGGCGCTTCCGTCAGCGGCGTCACAAAACATTGGTCGTTTACAATTTCCTTTTTTTGGGCGCGCCATTTCCAGTTTCCCCTTATTCGATATCGGATCAAAAGGAGCAGTCTGCGTTTGACGAGACGTTGGTTATCTGATGAAGATGCCGCCGTTATTGCACAGTAGTTTTTGGGTGATGAGAATTGAGTTGTTTTAGTGAGGGGAAGAGTTGACTCATTCTGGTCAAGTGTTTCTTTTGTCGTTTCTTTTGGGTTTTTCGGATATTAAAATTCTTGTAATTGCTAGAATACGCGTCTTTTACACTTGTAAATATCCTGTATTTTATGAATGAAATTTTTAAACTTTTGGGTCAAGTCTTTCCCTCGATTAGAAAATCGTATTTTACAACGCCTGATAGTGATTTGAACTAGAAAAAAGTTGCGTATCTGTTTTCTGATCTCAAAATTCATCATAAAATACGATTTCATTCATTTTTTGACACCAAGGAAAGACTTGACCCATCTTGGGTCAACTGTTTCCCTCGGCCAAAAAAAGTGTTTTTTGAATGCCAAATAGTGTAAAATACCTCCACAATACATTTTGTGCTTTTTTTAACTTTCTCAATTATGTGTCAAGTCTTCCTCTCACTGAAAGTTCGAGATTTTTAATGCAAAAATCATCTCAAAAATTTGTAAAATACGTCTCTCCAAGCAACTACTTGGTTGTATTTCTCTTTTCCCAATCACATCTGCTCTCTGTTCGTATCGAAAAAATGATTAAAGGCGCGTGAATTCATCCAGAAATTCCAGTCTGCGCATCTGCATGTCGTCCCCCCTCGCCCTTCTGATGGTCGTCGTTTTTTCTCTCTCTTCATTCATTTTTTTCTTTGTGTGCAGAAAAAAAAACTTTTTTTAGAACATTTATTCTTATTTTTATTCGCCTTTTGTTTTATTTGTCTAGTCTCGATCGAGGGGGGAAATATGTGTTTCCTTCAAGGGAGAAGTGCACGGTGCGGGGAAAATCGTGATTTTTTGACTGATTTTTAAAATTTTTTTTTGTTTTAAAATACGAGACATGTGTTTCTTGACGCTTTTAAAGAAATTTTATATTTTTCAAAAATTTTAAAATTTCATTTTTTTTTTTGAGTTTTTCGTATAAAATGTCACCTGTAGGGGTTCAAATGGTCACTGAAAATTTTTATCCGATCTTTATTTTGAATGTCGAAAATTTTTTTATCTAATTTCCAAAAAAAAATTTTTTATCTTTTTTTAAAATTTTTCGTATAAAATGTCGCCTGTAGCGGTCCAAATGGTCTAATAAAATTTTTTTATTTTTTCTTTTTTACTTTCTTGGATACTTTTTCATATTTTATTATTTTTCTTTATTATCTAATTTTTCGTATAAAATGTCGCCTCTTTTTAACGCTCTTCTGCAAAAAACGAAAACAAAAAAAATGTTTCTGTCTTATAATCCGCGTTGATTGTAAAATACGGGTGGGCTAGAAAAATCAATCGTCTTTATCTTACGTATCTTTTCGAGTCAAAAGTCAACGTTTTCCCAAATATTTTTTTATTTTTGCCATTAAAAATTTATTTTTTTTTTTATTTTTTTCCTTGTGAAAGATCATGATTTCCGATAAGTTATTTGTAAAATACGCTGATGTCACTTCATTCTAAAGAAAAAGCATAATTAAAAAAAATTTCAGCTAAAAACGGTAGTTTTTTGCTTAAAAAAAATCATTTTTTAAATGACATTCCACTAGTAAATAGTCTATTTTACCCTCTCCTTTCTTGATATTTAACAAAATTTTGATGAAAAATTTCCAAAAAATCAAAAAAAAATTTTGCTGGCAAAAAAAAATTTTCTCAATTTTCTCAAAAATTCATCCAAAAAATCGCTCACCATCGTATATCATATACTTCCTACCTCTTTTTCTACCCTTCTACATCAAGATTTTGCCATATTTTGCCTTCCTTCCCCTTGTTTCCCCCAAATTTTCCCTCCCAACCCCACGTGATCTGCCTACCCTAATATAACCCCTAAAACAGAGAGTTTTAGCGGTTGAAAAGGTTGAAAACATTGCAAAAAAAGGCTAGACCGTGCACAGAAGCAGAGGCAGTGATTTGCGCGAAAGGGAGAAATGTTTGAGAAAGAGAATGGGGCGCTGGAGGAACCGGTCGGATGCACCGGTTTCCGTCTTCCGCCTCCGAAGAAGAGGAGGATGATCAGCGGCGATGACGAGACGGGATCATCCTCGCCATGCATCTGTCTTCTGCGACGTCTTCGCGCGTCTTCTGCTATATCTCCTCGGGGGATTTTCGGGTTTTTTTTTTATTTGCAAATTTTATCTGATATTACACTTGAAGGCTTGGAGGCGATTAGTTCGAAGGTTCGGGGGGAAATCGCCGATTTTTGGGGCTCCGGTGTGGAGCAAGATGTAGCTAATGAGTGGTTGTTGGTTGTAGCGGCTTATTAGGCCATCTGGAGCCGTCTACATGCCAATTTTATATTGATTTAGGCAGTTCTCGACATCAGAAGTCGATTACTTTGAAATGCCAAAAAATGTCTTTTATTCATCGTAGATGGTACTATTATAGTACCATTAGGTAATATCTAGTCTAGTGATGCCTCTTATACCACATTTACCCCATTTATCTTGCTTTAGTCATCATTTTTTCTCAAGTCAAGTCTCTAACAATATATTACCGTTTATGGTAAAACAAGATGTTTAATTGTAAAAATTTACATTTTATGGTAACCAAAATGGATTTGAGGACAAACTACGACAATTTTTATTTGCTACTCCTTTTCTATATTACTTTAGTCATCAACTTTTCATGGAGGTCTCGTTGAAAATTGATATTAATTTTTTGGCCAAAAAAGTTATTGTGTTGTAAAAACAACAACCTACAATTGAAATATAACTTATATAGGATACAATACAGTCGATTACATTTTTCTGGCAATCTTAGTTTTAGTTAAATCATCATTTTTTACCGATTTTCCTAACATAAGGTTTTCTCTAAAAACGTTGAAATTTGTTTCGTATTTTAGTTTCGGCTCAAAAAAACAGCCCGTATTTTAGACCACACATTATCTACATTTCTCCATTTCTCTAAAAAATCAACTTTTACCCCCAAAAATCTCCTTAAACCCTCTAAATTCCTCTAAATTCCTCAAAAAGCCCCAATTTCGGCCATAACCCCAGGATCTCCTTTTAATTTCCCATGTCCTTGCTATTTACCGGCCCTTACCTAGTCACCCCTTCCTTCCGTATTCCCTGTTTGTTGTTGTGAGCCAGACGGCGGGGAGGAATTTCTTCTTCTCGGGCAACTGTTGTTCCCATAAATTATTTTAGTTCTCGCTGTCTGGCTTGTTGTTTTTCTTCCTCTTGAAGCCAGCAATTCCCTCCGCGTTACTGGTTAATTGCACTCTCGATGGGATGGAAATTACGTTCCGAGAAGGGAATTTGCAAAAAAAATTTGGGATTTTTTACTTTTTTTATTGGAAAGGGAGACTTGACTCAAGTTTTCTTGTCTTTTTTCTGCCGCCTATTGACTTTACTGGAGTCTGTAAGACCGAAAAAAGTAGTTTTTACCATAGTAAACATCAATATATTTCATTCGTATTTTCAAAAATCTTGAATTTCAGTGAGGGCGACACTTGACCCAGAACAAAAAATAATTGCTTTTTTCTAATATTTTGTCGTATAAAATCGTAAAACTGCACCTTTATATTCGTATATAGCCGATAAATTCAATCGAACGTATCTTATTCATCCTCAAAGTCTTTTCTTCAGAGAAAGACTTGACCCAAAAATGATTTTTTTGCAAAAAAATGTATTTTTTAATTTTTTTCGGTGTTTACGCAATGAGACTTGTGGAAGGACGTATTTTACAACCTCAAGTAACATCAATTTCATCGTATTTTATAACTTATTTTCCATTTTCTCTCTTTTTCCTCCCGTTTTCCTCAATTTTTCGCGGATTTTCACTGAACCTTTGCAAATTTTTACCTTCCCGGCTCTTCAGAACCAATAACTCAGCGTTTACTTCACCCCAAATCATACGACCTCATCGTGGAATACCTCAATCAACTCAATTTTTTTGGATTTTCCCTCGGATTCTCGCATGATCTTCACCAAGTTTAAACGCTGATTACTACTACTCACAACATAGCTAGAACTTAGCAAATCTACCTGTTCAACCTACCCGACAAGGTCTTTCATACGGCGGAGGAATCGATATTTCATCCTTTGATTCCCCGCCAAAATCGACATTTTGAAATTTTTGAATTTCCCGCCAAAAAAATTTTTTGAAAATTTGAATTTCCCGCCAAAAAAAATTTTTTGAAAATTTGAATTTCCCGCCAAAAAAATTTTTTGGAAATTTTGCGGTTTTCTCGAAATGGAGCCGCATTCTCGACTCTCGGCCTTGTCCATGGACATGTTGACAGCCTCTTTGTTGGAGCACACCGTCCGCTACGACCACGAGACCTCTCTGGCCGAGACCTACGACAATTTTCTGGCCAACAACGCCGCCCTTCAGGCCAGTGGTCAGTTGTGCCGTGTGATGTTGCGCTTAGTGCAGGAGCAGCATGAACGCCGGCAGGCGACCAACTTCCCAGCCGTAGCCGGCATCTCGGCCGAACTTTCGGCGCCCCCACGGAAGCGGAGTCGCGACGATTTCCAGCCCACTCCGGAATTGTCAGCAAATTTGGTGGCTGATGCGCGCAATCAGCCGCTGGACACCGCCGAACTCATGGAAGTGGATTTTGAGCCCGCTGAGAACGCCGCCGACGAAGGAGGGACGTTGAAACGGAAGATACGAAAGATTAGCGCACAGCCGACAAGTGTTATTGTGGATGCGAGGAGGAGAATGGGCCCGTTAACTCCGCTGAATGTCGATGCCAATGAAGTTGTGGGGAAGATTGAGGCTAAAAGTGAATTTCCCGAGGCTTCCGCTGAAGGTGGGTTACTGTAATTTTGGGAAATATGGGAAATTGGGAAAGTCCATGGATTTTGGGAAAAAATTTAAAAAAATGGTCAAAATAATTTAAAAACAAACTTTTCAATTTAAATTTTACAATTTTTATTACTTAATTTCCGTTAGGGATTACTGTAATCTTACACTTTTCAAAATCATTCGATTTTTTTCAAAATTTTTCGAAAAAAATTAGAAAAAAATCGAAAAATTTTTATCTCGCATTCCTTGCCAGGTCGTATTTTACAATTTCCATAACTTGATTTTTCTCCTAGGATTACTGTAATTTCACTTTTTCCTATTTTTTTCCAAAAAATCTCGTTTTCCCTCAAAAATTTCCCCTAAAAAATCATTTTTTCTTCCGGATATAGACGCAAAGACCATACAAATCCTCGTCATAAGGTTCGTCTCATAAATTATGCCGATATTTATGCGTTTCCGGTCGTAATTCCTCAAAAATGTTGGAAGTCGGGGCTTGTTTGTTATTTGAGGGGAATTTTCTTGGGCCAATCCTTTGGCACGAGCGTGCACCGTGCATTAGCCGGTTGTTTGTTTATTTTTGCCCGAGGAACCGAGTCTTGCTTGCAAAATACGAGCCGTTTTTGAAAAAAATCTAACTTTTTTTCAAATTTATGCAAATTTCGGGGATATCGGATATCAAAATGGGACAAAAAAAACTTTCTCTGCTTTTCACCACCTGTTTTTTCATATTCACTATGATTTTCACCAAAATTTCAATCTTTTTCAATTTTGTTTTTGGTCCCACCACGAAAACTTGAAATCGCCTGAAACGCCTTGGCATTGATTTAAAATCCTTCCTGACTACTCTAGCAGTAATCAAGAGCATACTGACTTCCTTCTTTCGGCTCAAAATAACCGGTTGCTTGTTTTTCACACTCAAGTATTCATTGTTATGGGCATCATGAGATAATAGAAGGCCGGCGCTGGGTGGGACGAAAGAATGGGCCCAAAAGCGCAAGAATAGAATTTTGAACTCATGCTTGAGAAGCCCCTTTCAGAAGGTGGCATGAAATTTGAGTTTTTTGATAGGGGAAAATACTTGACTCGGGTCAAGTGTTTCTTTAGTTAAAATACTGAAGAAACACTTGACTATGTTTAAAAAATGAGATTTCAATGCCTCGTATCTTACCTTCAAAAATTTTTTTTGTGTTTTTCTTTGATTGGCGTTTGCGGGAAAAGCTTGACCCATTGTGTCATGTCTTTCTCTGATCTTTAAACCGTTGCTTGAAATTTCTGAAGATTTTTGATTTTCGTATTTTACCTTCTAATTTTGCTAACAAACCCTTTCCAATAATTCCTGCGCACAGCGAAACACTTGACCCATCGGAGTCAACTCTCCCCCCATCTAATTGCCCAATAAAATACATTGCCGAAAAACAAGCGGCCAGACTGGAGATAACAATGTTCCGCTAACTTATTTATGAAATGACTGAAGAGCCGTTGTTATTCTTTTGGCCGCTTTGTTCGGCCGCCCCGCCAGCAAAACAGAGAGAAAAGCCGGCCCCGAAAGGTGGAAGGGCCTTTTGGTCAGTGGGATTTCCTTTCCGCAGACAAATTGCTGTGCCATGAATTCGAATTCGGAATGGCGGAACTGACCGAATTCTTGAGTTTGGGCCCGCTGCAAATGAGTAAGTGGAAAAGTTTTGGGATTCCATGGATTTAGATGGTAAAAATCTTACTGTTTTTAATTACAGAGTAAAATTTTTTGGGTCTATATGCTTTTTTAAGCCTTTTTCTGACTTTTCCAAGCGTTTCGGGGCAATGCCAAGCGATTTTAAGACAATTCAGGTTTTCGTGGTGGGACCCAAATTTGAAGTAAAAAATTCTGCAAACTATGTAAAACTGTCTTACTACGTTTCTAGGATGTCATTAGCCTTTTTTTAGACTTTTTCCAAACGTTCTAAGGCGATTCCAAGCGATTTCGAGACAATTCAGGTTTTCGTGGTGGGACCCAAAATTGAAATAAAAAATTCTGCAATTTATGTAAAACTGTCTTACTACATTTTTGGGACATCGTTAGGCTTTTTTGGACCTTTTCCAAGTGTTTTGCGGCAATACCAAGCGATTTTGAGACCTTTCAGGTTTTCGTGGTGGATCCAAAATTGAAATTTAAAATTTGGCAATTTTTGTAAAACTGGCTTACTACCACATCCTAGATGAATTTTATCTGTATTGCATTAATTTCAAACTTTTTTAAAATCAGATTTTCGTGGTGAGACCCAAGTTCAAAAATTCAAAAAATTTTCTTTGTTGTCTATCCCCTCACTCTCTAACAATAAATTCCGGGCAAAAAACACAAATTGTTGACCGTTTTTCGGAACGTTTACAACCTTCGCTTTTATGACCGAAAATGGGAAAGGAAGAGGGAGAGATTTCGTTAACTTTATTGGCATTCGACCTTTGTTAACGGCTCATTTACTCTGAGTTTTGGGGAGATTTCTGACTTGCCTTACTCAGTAAGGTCTCTAAAAGGTATAGAATTTGTAAACAAGGTTTTTTGAGCAGTAACTTTTAGTATTTTGGGGGTCTTAAAAATTTGTCGAATTTTTGGGATTTTTTTTGTAAATTTTGAAAATATTTGAATAAATAGTAAGGCAAAACTATATTTAGACAATGTAAAATGGCCTATTTTAACATATAAAACTATAATTTCCGGGATTTCAAGGGTGTTTACCCCTTTTTTGGCAAAAAACCGTAGAAAAATGACGTTTTCTCTTGCTTTTTCATTTTTCCCCACTTTCCTCCGCTTTTTCAGTCCAAAAACTGACCTTTATTCCTCCCCAACATAATGTTGTAAATAAGTCCACAATTTGGTCGTAAAAATATTGGACTATTACGTCGTTATATCAAATTTTAATTGCAATTTCCCCAACGACCATTCATGTTTTTAATGCGAGAATTTTATGGCTTTCCCCGCAGGGCATTCATCAGCAAACAACATTGTCTGCCCACATTTGTTTTTTTCGCACCTAAACATTCAGTTTTTTGGTTCAAAATTTTGAATTTTCGAATTTCCCGCCAATTTTGGCATTGTGTTTTATGACGTCTAAAGTGCGAGAAAATGCACGGGATAAGTTGTAGTCTACTTGTTAAGCTTTAATTTTGATGGATCTTTGGATTAGAGAGTTATTTTCGCATTAAGGAAAGTGAAACATCCGAAAATACGGGGATTTCGGAGAGAAAACTGGTTTTTGAAGATGCGTAGTCACGTAAAAGTAAAGTATTCACCATCAGCGATTTGTGACTAACTTGAAATTATAATTTTTGATGCTTTTGACACCAATCGCATATAAAATTACACTTTTTGGACAAAAAACCAAAATTTCACCAAAAAATTTTAGAAAACTCAAAAAATTTACTTAAAAAACCGGTTTAAAATACGATAATGAATGTCAATGCAATCAAAAAATACAACAGTATTCATGTTCACACTCAATTTTTACTATTTCCCCCGAGAGAAAAACTTGACCCAAAATTTCCTTTGGGACAAGTCTTCCTTTCTGTTCGTGAAACCAGAAAATACACAAAGCAGTAAAAGTTGTAAATTAACTGATGGATGGGAAGAGATCCCGCAGCTAATTTCTCAGTCTTCCGAATCCATAATGAGCGGCGTTCGTCACGCATTACGGAAGCTGGTTGAATGAAGAAGTTTAGACGCGACGGATGTCTGGTTTCGGTCAAAAGTCGTTCTTCTGTCTATTTCTGTCTTGTTTCAGATGTCTTTTGGCAATTTTTTAACTAGATAAATAGTTTAGAGTAAGCACAAAAATTTTAGGAATTTTGCACAGTGCAGTGGAATTTTTTGTCTATTGCACGGTGCAGATGTCAGGTAAATTGATACAAGATGATGTCAGTGTGAGAATATGGTATTTTTTACCTAGTAAGGTTATTTTTCTCTTATACGATACTGTGGTATCCGCACAGTGCGACATTTTATACTTCGCACTGTGCAGTTGGAAAAAATGTCATTTGCACAGTGCAGATGTCAGGTAAATTGACACAAGATGATGTCAGTGTGAGAATATAGTATTTTTCACCCAGTAGGATTGTTTTTGTCTGATACGATACTGTGGTATCTGCGCACTGCGACATTTTATACTTTGCACTGTGCAGTTGGAAAAAATGTCAATTGCACGGTGCAGATGTCAGTTAAGTCGAAACAAAGTATTGTCATGGCGAGAATATGGTATTTTTTACCCAGTACGGTAATTTATGTCTTATACGATTCTGTAGTATTTCCACAGTGCAACTTTTTATAATTCGCACTGTGCAGTTAGAAAAAATTTCGATTGCACAGTGCAGTGAAAAGCAAATTTTTTTTGTTGAATGGGAAATCTTTTGTTACATCATATACTATATTTGTACATAATTTTTTAGTCATTTATATCAGTACCTTCTGCACTGTGCAAATTTTTTCCAACTGCACTGTGCAGTCGCCAAAACTTTCGCTTTCTTTTTGCACTGTGCGCAGATGTCATATTTTGCATCTACACTCTCTATCATACCATGAAGACAAATTTCAATTATTCATCGCAAACATCTCGCCCTATTAAGCCCCAATATTTACATAGCCTGTTATGGGTCTTTCCAGTTCCGATTCGATCCTCTTCCTTTTTTTCCTCTTCCTCATCGCTATTGTACGAAGATCCGGAAGAGCGAAAGTTTTGCTTCTTTCCACTCTTCTACTCCATCTTCTTTTCTCTTTTTTGATTAGACAGTCAATTAGAAGCATAATACAAAGGAAGAGCCCAAAAATATTTTCGACGGATGTTACGAGGGATATTATTGGGTGTTTCAAAGTGGAAAAGTTTATTTTCCGACGCTACGGAGCTTGTTTTCAAGCTAATTTTGCGTATGAAAGAGCAAAAGTTCATTGCACGGTGCGGTCAAAAATTTTTTTGGATTTTTGCACCGTGCAGATGCTGGGCGGGAAACAGAATTTTTTTTATGTTGGTCATGAGGCTACTGAATTTTTGTGGTAAAAATGGCGACATCAAATTTTACGAATGCACCGTGCAAAATTTGGTTTTTCGAATTTTCGCACTGTGCGAAAAGAAAAATCGGCGAATGCACTGTGCAGAGAGACTATTTTAGGCAATTTTGAAAGTTTTCTGGTACAGTTAGACCTAGAATTTATTTTTCTATTGCTTTAACATATTTTGGAATCTCCGCACTGTGCAAAAATCCAAAATTTGTTTATTGCACCGTGCATTCAAAAAAGTTCGTTTTTTCGCACTGTGCAGAAGAAGAGCGTTATGCCAAATAAAATTTATAACACGTATCTTAAATCTTACCCCAATATCTTATTCTATACAAAAAATTTCGAAAATCACCATTGCACTGTGCCATTTCACAACTTTCTATTTTCGCACAGTGCAAGTTCAAAAATCTTTCCATTCCCAGGAATTCCCAATAACTTCTGACATGTCGTATTTATAGCCCTTATACTTTGGTACTAAAACACTCTATAGCCCAGAAACGGACTTTCTCATCTCCATTCTCATCAGCTGTTGCACTTTTTGGTACTTTTGCACTTTGAGTACGAGTGCTTCCCGTTTATCGGTTTAATTAACCTCGCGGATTAAAGGGGTTGGTAGTGTCACTCATGTGCATTGTATAAAATTTCTATATATCTCATGAGGTCGGGAAAACAAATTTTTACGAAATGCACAGTGCAGTTTTCGGTTTTTTGGGATTTGCACGGTGCAGGAAGATTAGAACTGCAATTTAAAAGTGAGTAGAGGATGCTAGAGCTGCGAAATTTTGATTGAGGAAATGCTTTTTACTAATACTATTTTCTGCACTGTGCAATTGTTTCAAAATTTTTGATTGCACTGTGCAATGGAAGACTTTTGAAAAATTGCACTGTGCAAAGTGCAAAACACTTCAGAAGTGACTGAAAATGTATCTATAACAACTATTAAGCCATTTATCATACTGATTAGTACCTTATAAAGCCCTAAAGATCCAAAATTTTCCAATTTTCCAATCGCACAGTGCGAAATTTTTACATTTTTTCATTGCACTGTGCAAAGTGCAAAACACTTCACAACCAATTGAAATTGCATATATAACAACTTCTAAGCCATTTGCCATACTAATTAGTGCTCTATAAAGTCCTAGAAATCCAACGTTACCCTTCCGCGACGTATTTTACACCTCAAATTTCCAATTTTCCAATCGCACAGTGCAGAATTTTGAAATTTTTTATTGCACTGTGCAATGTGCAAAACAATTCAGAACCGATTGAAATTGTATTTATAACAACTTATAAGCCATTTGACATACTAGTTAGTGCCCAATAAAGTCCTAGAAATCCAGCATCACCCTCAAAACTTCCCCGCCCGCTGCAAAACAACACCAAATTTTGATCGCACTGTGCGCTCGCTGTAATAATTATATTATTACTCTAATGGGGTGGAAAAAACGAGTAGTCCTTCGAAGAATCGTCAGCTCTATAAATATTATTTTTCCGTCAACACCAAAGTTTTTCGGTTTCATGACGATGTGTTACGTTTGCTGTAATTTTTTAGTAAAATTTATTATTTTTTTTTCTATTTCAGGCCCAGAAAATTAGATTTCCAGTATGTACGTAGTACAAAAGATGAATTTTAATTGGGTTTTTAGAGGTTTCCTGGGATTTTTGGATAAAAAATGATGATTTTTGGCTAAAATAAGGTAGTTTTAGACTAGAATTGTAAGAAATACAATGTCTATTAAATTTTCTATACGTTTAGTATAATTTTAGAGACAATAGAAGGGCTAAAATACAAAAAGAAATACCATTTCATTCATTCCGACGCAATCTCATCCAAAATAATGCCAATTTTGCCTAAAACCATGTAAAACCCCTCTCGAAATCGGCAAATTCTCAAAAATTATTTTGTACAGACCTTTGCGAATACCATACGAAGCCTCGGGATGACATTTCGCTCTCAAATTATTCGGCTGCACTCGTGGTTCGCTCTCTTCCGCCCGAATGGGGCTCTTCGGGGCCTCTTGAGAATCGGGTTTCAAACATTTTCATAAGGTGTTCGTAATCGGAATGTCTCTCTCGTCTTGTAATTCCTTGTAATTCCTCTCGCTGTACAGTCAGGAAATCAATTATCGGTTTGTGTACAAGCAAATTGGAAATTTTGTGGGAGAGAAGTGGGTTTTCGAAGGGGAAAAACTGGTAAAAATAATGTTCTACTTGAGCGTAGATGGTTATGTATCATTTTATTTGAAGTCTAATTTATTTTCGACACTAGTTTCAGTCGATCTAGACATTAATTTTTGGGTTATCATGAAGAAATAGTCGAAAATCTGAAAAATTTGAGATTTTCCTTCAAAAAATCATTTTTTTATTTAATTTTGCTATTGGCAAGTATGTCTAATGCACTTTTCTTGATGCCTGCTACCTTTTTACTACCTCAACTCACCGATTTACCTTTCAATTTTTAGATCAAAAACCAAAACAATACAAAAAAGTCTACTTTTCGAATTTTCCTCGCAAAAAATCCTATTTTTTAGTTGTTTACCCCAAAATTTCGAAGGCATATGGTTTTTCACCGCGAGTTTATTGTTTATCCTATTATACAAATGCGATTAACACTCGGTCATATGCTCTTTCGCCGAGTTATATTCGAAAAACCGCCATCTGCAGGAGCGGGGACTCGAACTTGCGCCGATCCAGGCGGTTGCTTAACTTGCCAGATCGGACAAACCTCTATTGCCTAGGGTTTTAAAGGGAGATTTTGCGTATAAAACTGTTTAAAGGAGGGGAAACGTCGAGAAATCAAACGTATGACCAGCCATTTTTGTTTTCCCAACCCCCAACCCACCCTTATCACGGCCGTTATCATCAAAGATCAGTCGGCGAAGGAATCGCCGCTTTGCTTCTTGCTCTCCCACTAACCAACAACTCTATTTGCAGTACACGAACGTCGGCCTCTGGACACGGCCCTCCATGCCGGCACTCTGAACGCGCTCTCCGAACGCAGCGTGGAGGTGATTCGAAACGGCGCCGACATTCAGTTGCCGCCGCCCCAGCCCCGCCGCCAAGCACCGTTGCCGCGCAATTGGCGATTGGCGTACGGACAGTCCTACAGTGCAACGACGTCGCCGAATCGAGTGTCCACCGGGCAGAAGTTGCGACAGCGGATTGCGAACAGCGCCACGGTGCAGTCGGTAAGTTTAGCGGTATAATGTGCGATTTTTGGGGGAAATGACGGGTAAAAATGATAAAAAGTAACAACAAAGATAGGGTATCCGTATTTTACAAAAAAATCAGCTTGAAACACAAAGCCAAAAAATTTGAATTTCGCTGCAGGAGTCAAATTTTAATTTTTTTCTGATGTAGATGCTTGGTTTGTATTTTACATTGACTCTGACCTTTTTTTTGTAATTTTAGTAAATTGCAACACAATGCCAAAGTTTCAAATTTTCGCTTTGAAACAAAAATTTTACGAAAATTACGTTGTATTTTACTAAAAATCACAATAGATGTGATCTAACATCTTTTTTCGACATTAAAGCCATTTGAAACACAATGCCAAAGAATCAAATTTTCGTCGTGAGACTCATTTCCCGTATCAAAATTGTAAAAAAAATGAATAATAAGCCATTTCCGCTTCAATTTGTAATTTCGAACAAACCACTCTTGTCTTCGTGATTAAAAATTTTCGTATAGCTGTGTTCTTTTGTGTTTTGTTATTACTTTCGCTCCCGCATTTTTTTCACGGTCGTCCGGGCCGGCTCATGAATTTTGAATATTTGTTACGTTCCGCAAATGAATAATCCTGCAAACGACGCGAAAACAAAAGCAATACGAAAAATGGAGCGTGCGAAAAAAAGGCGAGAGAAGTTTTTTCGGCCATTGGAAAAAGTTTACAGCGGGCGTTCGGACATGGATAATATAAGGTGAATTGATGAATTTTGGGCAAAATTTTTGAGAGAAAATTGTTTTCACATGCTTTTTTACTCATAATACGCTGTCTGGAAATGAAATTTGCAAATGGTTTTGCGGTTTTTGACACTTTTCGACCTTATATTATCCATGACATACCAGTTATAAAAATTTTTCCAAAAATCAAATTTTTCGAAAAGTACCGGATAAAAAATATTTTTATTGCTCTTTCTAAGCCCTATCTTTCCTACTGACGTCATTTCTACGATCAAAACTTCCGTCCGATTTTTTGCTTTTTTGAATTTCCCGCCAAAACTAAAAACGACCAAGTACTATCAACCGGCTTAAAATTGAATTTATACTTCTTCGTAAAGGTCAAAAATCATTCCGTTACCATTTCCGACCAAAAACAAGTCTTGCAACAGGATGCCAAGATTTTGAAAATTTGGCGGGAAATTCAAAAATAAATGAAAATCTCTCTGAAATTGCTTTAAATTGGTTTTATTCTTCCTCATAGACTCTTCGATTATCATTTGCGACCAAAAACAAGCCTTGCAACAGAAGGCCAAGATTTTTTCTACTACGCGGGAAATTCAAAAATCCATAAAAAATCTCCTTGAAATCGCAAAAACATCCCAAAAAACTGATTTTTACGGCAATTGCATCATGCTTCTCTGTTCCATATTCCCCATCGAACCTTCCAGACAGCATTCTTCGTAAGGTCATTTTGACGCAAAGCCTCTATCGCGATTCTCCGCAGTTTTCGTTCGACTTCACGCGTCGCGATCCACTTCACGTCGGACAGGTTTTTACCTGTCTTCGACTACCTTTGCTTATCCGAAAAATAACTATTTTTGAGCTTTTTCCACCGTTATTCCAACAACGGAGGGCTTTTTCGCCTCTTTGAAGTCACTTTTCCCCGAAACATGTGCTTAGAAAGCTAAGCTACTGGATTTGCAAGGCTTATCGGGGAGATTTTCTTGGTGATTTCGTAAGAAATATACGTTTGCACTCAAGGAATTGAAAATTTTTGAGAATTGCACGGTGCGAGAAAAATTTGAAAATTGCACTGTGCGGAGTGACTGTAAAGGCTAAAATACGGAAATAGTCGTAGATTTTTGGAGATTTTTTGCGATGGAATACTTTATAGGGCCTAAAAATTTTCATACTAAAATTTTCCTCACTGTGGCGTCATCTATTCGACTGCACTGTGCGATTTTTTCAACTGCACTGTGCGATAGAATTTGGATGCCCAAAAAAGCGGGTCAAATCGGAGAACCAAAAAATTTTTTGCTCTCATTGTACTCTCCTAGACCTAGAAATTCAAACTACACCAAAATTTTACCCTCTCTACATTTTTACCCTCCGCACTGTGCAATTTCAAATTTTCGCACAGTGCAGTCCGCAAACCGGCTTTTCTCTCCGAATTTTTGATGAAATAATCTAATTTCTTCTTCTGTATTCAATATCCTTCGAGTATTTTCTGCGCTCAGCAAGCCATTTCAATCTAATTCGCCTCAAAAATCTGCTTAATTCTAATGGGATCGAGAAAATTGGAAAAATTAGCTCCGTTCGAAAAACTGAGCGGCTTCTCACGCTTTTTCTCAACGTTTTTTCGGCTCAGCGAATCTACTTTTATTAGAATCTGCTTGATTTTCATTCTTATGTAACGATTTTTTGCTCGAAATTTTACTTTTATTTTTTTCGATTTCAAAAATTTTTTTTTTTATTTTTAGATTTTGCTTACAGGGGAAGTACTTCAAGTGTGACGCTCAGATTTTCTTTAAATTTTGCACACACATCGGGTATGGACTATATATCAATTCCTGAAAGTTTTAGCTCGCGCTTTGCGGGCGCCGCCGAGATATCGAACGATTTTTGCCGCCGAGAGAGCACGCTAAACGTGGAGAGCGGTCAGAGAGAAGAGCGCTTTTTGGCCATAACTTTGGCAGTTTCGTGCGGAAAAATTTGATTTTTTGTAGAAACATTATCCTTTACAGTTGAAATAGGCATGAAACTTTTCGTGCCGAAATTCGGCAAAAAGTCCTAAATTTTCGCCGACTTTCGATCTAAAAATCTCGGTTGTTTCTGTAAAGCGCGAGCTAGGATTCTCGCATATATCTTAGAAAAAATTATTCTAAATTTATGCCAAGTTTCATCAAAATCTGAGCGTCACACTTCAAGTACTTCCCTTGTTAAATCTTAGCTCTCAAAAATCATTTTCGAACGTGACAAATGTTGAAATCATGTTTGCCTCGAGGGTAAATACAAACAACTGTGGCCGATTTGTTGAAAAAACGGCCAAAACCCCCAAAAAATTTTTCGCTTTCCTCTATTTCTCAAGTTCAAAACGACCTTTTTTGTCTGATAAACTGATAGTGAATCGCTCATAATCCTGTAACAAGTGCTTTCCCATGTATTTTAGCGGTCTAATCAGTCACTCTTTACCCCCCAAAATCCCCTTTGTTGGACTTTTTTTGAGCCCGATTAATGTTTGTTCGGTCTTTTTTTTGTCGCAGAACTCGTTTCATAGAGGTGTGTTCGTCTCAATTCTGACCGGTGATGGCTCGGATTATGATTTCATGGAGTAAATTTTCAAGTATTTTTATGCACAGTGCAGTGAAAATTTGACTGCACTGTGCGGCGGAATTTCGATCGCACAGTGCGAGGTTTAGGTGGACCGCACCGTGCAGTTTTCTGCGACAAAAAATTTTGTTTGCACAGTGCGTTAAACTTTGTTATCGCACAGTGCAAAAAATCTCTTTTGACTGCACTGTGCGACAAAAGATATTTTTCGCACAGTGCAGTGAAAATTTGGTCTGCACTGTGCAGCGGAATTTCGATCGCACAGTGCAAAATTTGGGTGGGCAGCACTGCGCAGTTTTTTGCGACAAAAAAATTTTGTTTGCACAGTGCGTTAAACTTTGTTATCGCACAGTGCAAAAAGTCTTTTTTCACCGCACTGTGCGAGAAAAGATATTTTTCGCACAGTGCAGTGGTAATTGGCGTGCACCCTGCAATTTTTTGCTTTTTGCACAGTGCAGTAGAATTTGGACTTTAGGTGGGCCGCACTGCGCAGTTTTTTGCTACAAAAAAAATGTTTGCACAGTGCGTTAAACTTTGTTATCGCACAGTGCAAAAAATCTCTTTTGACTGCACTGTGCGGCGGATTTTTGATCGCACAGTTCGAAATTTAGGTGGGCTGCACTGTGCAATTTTTTGCGACAAAAAATTTTTGTTTGCACTCTTTTGACTGCACTGTGCGAAAAAAATATTTTTCGCACAGTGCAGTGGTAATTCGCGTGCACCGTGCAAATTTTTGATCTTTGCACAGTGCAGTAAAATTTGGACTTCGGGCGGACCGCACTGTGCAATTTTTGCGACAAAACATTTTTTCGCACAGTGCGTTAAACTTTTTTATCGCACAGTGCAAAAAATCTCTTTTGGCTGCGCCGTGCATTTTTTTGCTTTTTGCACAGTGCAGTAGAATTTGGACTTCAAGCGGGCCGCACTGTGCAATTTTTTTGCGACAATTTTTTTTTCGCACAGTGCAGTGAAAATTTATTGCACTGTGCAAATTTTTGCTTTTTGCACTGTGCAAGAAATTTTTCGCACAGTGCAATTTTCGCAAAAAATTTTAACTGCAAAAACCATCCCAAAAGGCACCTGATGTAATTAATAACCCGTCTAATACATGATCACTGATCACTGTAAACCGAAATAAAATTGTTTTTGATCAAAAGAAACACCCATTTCAGTGGTATGAAGTTTCCGTGAATTTGACGGTAAAGAAAGGTGAATAGACTGTTTCCTATAAATTTGAAGACATTCAGCTGATTAACTTTTACCTTGAATGCCCACTTTCGATGTTGAAGTAAATTGCACTTTGGGGGTCAAGGATGAGAGGGTTTTTCGGGAAAATAAAATGATTGCACAGTGCAGCGGAACTTTTAATGCGCTGAAGTGTTATAATCTATGAAGCGGAAGCCTGCACTATGCAGTGGGGGTTTTATTTCTTATTTTTTTAATGGAAAGCTTGTATACAGTGCAATTGATTTTTGATCGCACAGTGCAATCAAAATTACATCGCACTGTGCGATTTTTAGAAGCCGCACGGTGCAAAGATTGTTTTGCGACAAAAAAATTTTTGCACTGTGCAATCTTTTTTTTTTCATTGCACTGTGCAAAAATAATTTTTTGGCTGCACTGTGCAAAAAAAATTTTATCGCAAAAAATTGCACTGTGCGAAAACACTTTTGTCGCAAAAATTACATTGTGCAAAAAAAATTGTCGCAAAAAAATTGCACTGTGCAAAAATAATTTTTGTCGCAAAAATTGCACTGTGCAAAAAAATGTTTGTCGCAAAAATTGCACCGTGCAAAAAAAATTTTGTCGCAATAATTGCACTGTGCGAAAATATTTTGTCGCAAAAATTGCACTGTGCGAAAATATTTTGTCGCAAAAAATTGCACTGTGCAAAAAAAAATGTTTGTCGCAAAAAATTGCACTGTGCAAAAAAAATTGTCGCAAAAATTGCACTGTGCGAAAATATTTTGTCGCAAAAAATTGCACTGTGCAAAAAAAAAATGTTTGTCGCAAAAAATGGCACTGTGCAAAAGTTTTTTTATCGCAAAAAATTGCACTGTGCAAAAAAAATGTCGCAAAAATTTCACTGTGCAAAAAAAAATGTTTGTCGCAAAAATTGCACTGTGCAAAAAAAAATTGTCGCAAAAATTGCACTGTGCGAAAAAAAAAATTTGTCGCAAAAATTGCACCGTGCGGGTCAAAAATCGCACAGTGCAATGCCTAATTTTGATCGCACAGTGCGATCAACAGTGTTTTCGTTTCAATACCATCTCCATTTCCCGTCACTCATATACATAATGAAAACAGTTTTCGGAGAGAGGATTATCGCTCCAAACTGCCTTTTAATTAAAGGGATGCTTATCGCTTCCCTTTCCGCGGGTCATATGTTCAGCCCATCCGCTTTTCTTTGTTATTGTGTGGAACAACACTGATAAGCGCGGTCGTCGTCGCGTTTCATCTCGCGGTCCACAATTGGCGATAATTTGGCGATTCCTAAGAGGCTTTCGGCGTCGCCGGCGGACGTCATGCATCTATAATAATATTCGCGGCCGGCTGTAGTTTTGGATGGGGTTGGGCGAAAACAACTTGGGGTGATAGGCCTATTGATTACTGTGACACTTCCTCGTGATAACAAAAATATTATTTTTTGCACTTTCATGACGGACGCCTTTTTTTGGTTTTACAATTTTCGCCGCACGGTGCGGTGAAATTTTGACTGCACTGTGCAGTGAAATTTCAAATGTAAAATGCAGGATTTTGACGCTTGCGCGAGGTGAAATTTTGATTGCAATAGTTTTTTACTCTACTACGTAAAAGTATATTCCATTACATCTTACAATAACACGCGCCTAAATTGCGCTACGCGACAAACAAAATTTTTCGCACAGTGCAATAAAATTTTTACTGCACCGTGCAGATCGGGGTATAAGTTTCAGGAATTTATTGGTATTTAGAGTGGCAAAAAACATACCATTGTGCATCCGGGAAGTATCCAAAAATGCGACAAAATACGTTCATTATTTTCCCGACAGACTGATACTGTTTTTTGTGTTTCGGGTGCTTCGGGTATCTTGTCTTGCCTGTAGGAATAACACCGTCTGAACAGGCTGATATTATACTATTTTAGAGCCCTAATCCTTTACTTGTATTGTATCGCTAATAGGCTACATCTTCTGTCATGGTTATTGGCTACCCTGCATCATTTTTTGCATATTCTCCTTTAGTCATCATCCTCCGTCATCCTGGTCCAAATGTATAGGATTTCTCTGTATTTTAGGGCCCATCCCCCACCCTCCATCACTTGTATTTTGCCCAATACTCCCATAATACACACATAGAACTGTGGTGATCGAACAACTCGTCCCATCCGTCCTCTGGGCGACATCTCTGACTTGACCGCAATTTTGTAGTTTTTGCGATAATCCACCTCTCTTCGCTTGTCGTTATCGGTGGGGATCCGCTTACCGCGCCTTTGGCTAAATTTAGTAGCGGATTACAGCGACAAATCGGGGTATGGAGCACCTATCCTTGGCTCTCGATGTGCTATATTTACAAGCAATTGAATGGGATGGGGTCATTACGGGACTTATAATGCCTCAGGGAAGTTTTTTTATAATTTCTCTCCGGGTTTAATAGACTCCTCATCCATCTGACTGATGATTTACTGACTTGTTTTTGTGTGATTCAACAGTCATCGGGTTGATATCATATGCGAGAAGCGGTTGTTTTCCGCATCAATGACTCGCCTTCGCCATACAGACAATTTTTTTGTGACGATCCACTTCCGCCTTTGTCAAATTAGATTCGCCTATTGCAATGATGTGTTGTGGGAACGTCGGCTTTAAAAAGTTACTGCATGTTCTTTTCGTCTGAATTTCAATCGCGTTAGGGGCATTTATCGACAGAACCATCCATTAAATTTTTTTACCATCTTTTGTATCCTTTGATTATGCCGCAAAATTCTCCCATAACCACCGATTTGTAGCCTTAGTCCGGTGGGAAATTGCAGTTCTCCTCATAAGGTCTAATCTTATCAGCTTGGTGCAACAGATTGCTCTTCAAACTACAGGGAGCAGGGGTTTACGACCTTCTCTTTGAGGCTCGAACATGTCTTTATGTCTTGTTCCTTGGAGGCTCGAATATGCCTTGTTCCTTCGTGTCTTGTCTTCAGGAGGTCTTACAAGGACCGTCTTTGATATGAGGCATACGGAATTTGATTAAAATTAGCTCCGATAACCCAACTAGGATTCTTTTTAAGGAGCCCGCCGGCCAGCATGTACAGTGGCGGACCTGATCCACTGGCAAAAAACGTACCATTTTGCATCCGGGAAGTATCGAAAATGTAGCAAAATACCTCCCTTTCTAACTTAAAAAATCCCGGTTTTCAAGAGCGTCTCACAAAAAGAACTGGTGCGCTTTAAAATAGGAGTTTTTTCACTTGGATATGGAGGTGTTTTGCTACATTTTTTGATACTTCCCGGATGCAAAATGAAACGTTTTTTGTCACTAGATCACGTCCGCCACTGTGATGTATGATTTCGTAAGAATATAGGAGATTCCTAGCTGCCACAGTTCAGAAGTCCGTTTCTCATCTGGTCGACTCTCCTCATATCAAGCTCTATCGAAAACAAGAACTTTGAATATCTCGGCTGCTGCGGAAAATTTGGAGCTAAAGTTTTCAGTGACTTATAAGTGGCTAGCTCACAACCGGCATGCTGAATTTTCATAAAAATCAGTGTGCCTTTCCTCAAGGCTTTGCTTGTTTGTAGGGCTCGAAAATTCCGAGCTTTGTCTTACAATATGAGAAGTTTTCTTCCCATTTCTGCCAAAGCCGGCAAAAATAAGGCCAAAAAACGTTTTTCTCTGTGACCTATCCTCATTTTGCGTACTCTCTCAGCGGCAAAGATCGTTGAATATCTCGGCTGTCACTGCAAAGTGCGAGCTAAAACTTTCGGGAATTGATATGTGGCCTATTCCTGATGTGTGTGCAAATTGTAAGGAAAATCTGAAGGTCGCACTTGAAGCTGTAGCCTTCCTTTTTAGCCCCTATCTCATACAAATTTAGTTTACAAAAAAGCTGTAATCTTTTTCTTTCCAACACCCCCTCCACATTGTCACCCCATTAAAAATAAATTTCGTTTAATACCGTTTTAAACTGCGTTCCCATTATCACACACGCAAAAATCAAATGCGGCTGAATGGATGGTTTGTGTGGACGGTACAAAACGGCTCTTCATATTTTCGGAAAGTGTTTTTTCGCATCAACCTTGACCAATTTCCGCAACGAGCGGTTCGGCGTTATCAGCGGTGAATAAGAGCGTGTGTGCGGCGCGCTATCGATTCGCTGAGGGGTTTTTCCCGCCCGACGATGCGGAGAGCGATGGGATTAAAACTTTTGTGGGGTGACGACGAAGTGTAGGCTTAGGAAGTATCATCAAGACGCGTGTAGGCGTCTTGATGATATGTTGGGGAGTCTGTGAGTCATGCTGGCTGGGGTGTAGCGGCTTCACAGAGCATTGTAAGCCTCACAGTTTTGGAAATTAAAGAGGCTTACAATACATAGAGCAACATTTGTAGCAGGGCCTGTAATCCACATTTTTCGACGTTTCAGTCTGTCGGGAAAATAATGGGCAGAATGTCGCTCGTGTTGCTGAAGTGAAAATCTATTAGATTTTGTTGCGACACAATTACAGTAGTTGACCTGATCCAGTCGCAAAAGGGTACCATTTGAAGTACCAAAAATGTAGCAAAATACCTCCATCTCCAAGTGAAAAAGTCCGATTTCAGAAGCAGTTTTTTTGTGAGGGAAAAAATATTAAAAGGGTAGTTGGAAAGGGAGGTATTTTGCCCCACTTTTTGATACTTCCCGAATGCAAAATGATAATTTTTTGCCACTGGATCAGGTCCGTCACTGTAATTTCCTCGGCGGCAATGTGGATTTTCGATCCGACACAATGCTCATTATTTTCCCGACAGACGGTGACAGTGGCTGACCTGATCCATTGGCCAGAAAAACGCACAATTTTGCTTTCGGGAAGTGTCAAAAATGTGGCAAAATACCTCCCTCTCCAAGTAAAAAACCTCGTTTTGAAAGGCGCTTTTGAAATTGAAGTTTTTTCACTTGGAAAGTGAGGTATTTTGCCACATTTTTTGATACTTCCCGGATGCAAAATGATAATTTTTTGCCACTGGATCAACTCCGCCACTGTATATCACCATTTTTGACGCGACAATTATGGCTATGACATTAGAATCCCAGAATAAATCATAGAGAATGCCCCCTTTTGTCCAGTTGACCTTCTTTCAACCTTTTTGCTCTGGCTTTCTTTATGGGCTGAATCGCTTATGAGCGTATATTTTGGACCCACAAAAAGCGAACTTTCCACCCTGCAAAACACGTTGCCCAGAGTTTAACAAAGACTCCTTGGTCACTGTGAAGCCATTCCGCTGACTCTTCGATTTATTTCCTGCTCCATCATTTCATTTGATCTGTTTTTGTTGCATCGCTCAAAACAAGCTGGTCTGTATACACTGTGGTAAAGTTCTATGACGCTTGGAACGAGCGGCCCTACGACTTTTCGGGACATGGACAGTTTGGGTCAGCGATGCTGTAGATCGCGTCCGTTTGTCGTCGTATGCATGTGAGAGGCTAGGAGAAGGCTTATTTAGTGGAAATAATATGATTGATCGGGTCTTAGAATAGTTAATCATAATTTTTGAGGCCATTAACATGAACTCACATCAATAATATCCAGTCTTCGCCAAGTGTCTGCCGAGCCTTCTCCGAGTATCCGGCGGATATCGAGCTACTTTAATAGGCCTCGTAAGCAACTCCTAGTACTTTTTTTGTATCCGCCTGTCTTACGCCCCGTAGATTTCTTTGGAATGACCTTACGGCCTTCTGACCAACTTGTTCAACCTCTTTGTCCTCGAAAACAGCCTTTTAATCCCCCAAAATTTTCCCAAATTTTCCCAGAATCACGCGACACGTGTCCCCGCTAAGCCCCTGATGTCTGAAGTTTGAGTTTCAAACAAACCGGGGTCAATTTTAACCCAAAAGTTTGCACAACTTCTTTACTCTCTAGGCTCTCCGCGAAGCGTGCAGTCCGTGAATGTTTGCAGTTAGTTCATTTCCAAATGTTGACAAAATTGCAGCAAGTTGTTATTTTCGAAGACGGTTCGAGTCCTTTGGGGTTGTTATTTTCAATAATTAGTCTTCTCAACTATTCGTTTGCTATTGTAAAAACTGCGTGTCAGATGAATTATCATCATAGTGAGATGTTGGAAAATAAGATGGTCATTGTAAAGATGACCGTATCCTTTGTATTTTGAAACTACTATCCGATTATTTCTGGTCTTTATTTCAAATTGCTGTCCAGAAAATGCGTCATGATGACACTAGTTTAAAATGTGCCAGTGAGATAAGCAGTCGCTGCATAAGGCTAGTAGTACTGTACAGAGCTTGTCAAAAAATTTTGGACACTACACAAAGTTTTTTCTAAAAAAATCCAGAAAATCCGTCATCCAAATTACATATTGCAAAAGTTTTGAGCTTAATTTTTTTTTTCTGGGTAGTCCAGGGTGTACTGCTAGACGTATACATCTATTGTTTATACCACTGGCGCATTTTAAACAGGTGTCATTATGACATATTTTCTGGACACACCGTCTTCCAAATTGGTTATTGCAAATTTTGAAATTAATTTTTTTGTGGGTACTCCAGGGAGTACTCCTAGCCATATACAGCTTTTTTTATGCCACTGGCACATTCTAAACAGGTGTCATCATGACACATTTTCTGGACACACAAAGGTTTATGTCCCGAGCCATATATCTTTTCATACAGTCCCAGCCATATATCTTGTCGACTTCGTATCAAAATTTCGTGATAACACCGTGTCGTACGAACTTTCATTGCATACCTTATTGTGGTATGTGTTCCAGAAATGACCGCTGATATATCACACGCAAAATTCGAGACTCCCTCGACCTCGGACAACTCGAACTCGGTGCTGCGGGTTCACGACGAGTCCAACGAGAATGAAGAGAGTTTCGAAAACAATAAAGTCATGTATCCCTCGGTGTGGCTGAAGGAGATGTGGTTTCAGCTGGCCTACATGCTGATTCTTTGGCCTATTTCTTATGTTGTACGTGAGAGCGACTTGCAATTCGAATAAATTAGAGAATAGGGAGAAAAATCAAAAAATTGGGGTTCAAAATTTAGTAGCAACATCTAATTGTTTTGCTTGCAGTTCCAACGCGGCCTGATTGAGTTCGCGCCGGGCCAGGTGCAGCGGCTGCGGGCGCGCATCACCTCCAAGGAGGCACAACACGACCCGAACGGCTCGGCCGGCTCCTTCGACCTCATCGGCCAGTACCAGCGCCTCCAGAACCACCAGTCCCCGCCCACCAGCCGCGACCTCTACCGCCGCCGCAGACGCACCTCGGTCCCGCTGCAACACGAAGCCGACCGCATCTCGCCCGCCCATCCCGACTACCATATCAGCGCCTTCTTGGACGAGAACATGCGTCCGCCAAAGTTCGACGTCCTCTTGCGGCAGCCGATGCCATCGCGCGAGGTGCAGGAAGAGAATGCCTGGGACTCGAGTCAAGCCGGCAAGTCGGTCAACATCTACGTCCGTGATGATGACAAATTGACACTGCATCGACATCCGGTGGCACAATCGACCGACTGTATTCGCGGCAAGAAGGGGTATAGTCGAGGGTTCCATGTGTGGGAGATTGTTTGGCCATTGAGGCAACGCGGAACGCATGCTGTGATTGGAGTGTGCGACAAAAGTGCGAGAATGCAGATGGCTGGGTACAGTTCGCTGATTGGAAGTGATGAGCACAGTTATGGATGGGATATCAGTGAGTTTTTTGGGATTTTTTGAGATTTTTGGGCTTTTAGTCATCAAAAAATTGTAAAATTTCATTATGACGGATTTTATGGAGTTCTGAAGCGAGAAAGATTAGGGTGACATTTTATACGAAAATTTTTTTGGTATTTTGAAAATGCCGAAATATGAAAAATATGTCATCATGACGGATTTTATGGATTTTTCAAGCGAAAAAATTAGGGTGACATTTTATACGAAAAATTTTCTTGAGAATTTTAAAGGTGCAGAAATGTGAAAAATACGTCATCATGACGGATTTTATCGATTTCTCAAAAAAAAAGTTAGGTGACATTTTATACGAAAAAAGTTTTTTTGATGGTGCAGAAATTTGAAAATAGTTAAGCATGACGAATTTTATGGATGTTGAAAAAGCGACATTTTATACGAAAATATTTTTTATTCAAAATTTTGAACATTTAGGCGATACCATAAAAAAATCCTGTATTGACACCTGCCGTATTTTACCGTAACCAAATTTCCTTTTCAGTCCGAAACCAAGGCCTACACATGGCCAAGACCAAGTCCCATTGGACCTATCCCGACCCCGCCCTCGTTGACAGCAGTTTCCAAGTCCCCGAAAAGGTCTATTGCATTCTGGACATGGACGAGGGATACATGGCATTCGCGACCGAAGAGAAATACCTCGGTGTGGCGTTCCGCAACCTCAAAGGCAAAGCGCTGCATCCGGTGGTGTGCGCCGTCTGGGGACATTGCGAAATCACCATGCGATATATGGGATCGCTTGATCGTAAGTGGATTTTTGAGGGCTTTGGGGGATTTTTTGGTGATTTTGGATAGAAAAAATTGATTTTTGAAAATCAAAAAAAAAAAATTGTTATTTTTTTAAAATTTTGGTTAAAAAATCTCAGTTTTATTTGCAAAAAGAAAGTTAAAAAAATATTGAATATGTGTTAAAAAAAATATTTTAAAATTGCGCAAAATTTCATCGATTTTTTTATTAAAAATTTTTTAAAAAACCCTAAAAATAAAGAAATTTTTTTTTCGAAAAATTCAAAAATAAGCCTAAAATCCTTTAAAAAACATTTTTTGTCATCCATTGATTTCAAAATTTCGCAAAATTTCATCAAAAAAAATTTAAAAAATCCCAAAAAACAAAAAAATTTTTTTTTCGAAAAATTCCAAAAAATCCCAAAACTTTTTTAAAAATATGTTTTTTCTAATTTTTCTCATCAATTTTCCACTCATTTCCCCCCATTTCAGCCAAGCCCCGAAGCCTAATGGAGATCTGCCGGCGCACGATTCGCCTTCAACTCGGGCCTTCGAGCATCGACAAGGCCGACGATTTGGACCTGCCGAACAGCCTCAGGGACTACGTGCTGTTCCGTCCGACGGTCGGCAGTGCTCTCCTGTAACTTTTAGGAATATCATGAATGTAAATCTTGTTCACAATCCGGGTTGTTGTCTTTCTCCCAACTTTTCTAATGATTTTTCGCGCTATATCCAATTTCCTTTGCCAATTCGCTTCTGCACTTTGAAAATACAGGTTGTATCATGTTTTTGCATCATTTTGAAATTTTTGAATTTTTCGATTTTTTCGATTTTTTTCGATTTTTTTTTCATTTCTTTCATTTTGCTTGGATTTTTTTCAAATTGAATTTTTTTCAAAATTAAATTAAATTTTTTCAAAATTTAAGCCCTCAGGCAACTTTTTAAAAACTTTTTTTCGCTACTTTCCCAAGCAAAATGATACAATAAAACTCGTTTCATACGCGGTTTATGTACAAAAGTTCCGTCTTTTTTTCTTCGTGGTGTCTCATCCGGTCACAGTAGAACATTGATTGACGTCAAACCCGATGACCATTTTAACCAATTTTTAAATAAGTCTTCATAATTTTTTGTTGCTGTAATATTCTCCGTCCAAGTTTTCGAACATCAATAATTTTGCCAATAAACATTTGAAAAGATAATTCGTATTTTGCATTAATGTCATAAAAATGTCATAAATTTTATAAAAAAAGCTAAAAAGAATCAAGATTATCGACTTATGATTTAAAAAAAGCGTTTTTTCTCTGTCACCGCTCTCCGCATTTCCCGTACTCTCTTGTCGGTAAAGATAGTTGAATATCTTTGCCGTAAATGCAAAAAAAGAGCTGAAATTTTCAGCATTTAATATAAGTCCCAGATAGGCCATGTCTGCAAAAAAAAATTTTCAGATCTGACGCTTTCCCACTCACTGGGGAAGTACTTCAAGTGCGACGCTCAGATTTTCTTTAAAGTTTGCACACACGTCGGGCATGGACTAAATATTCAATTCCTGAAAGTTTTAGCTCGCGCTTTGCGGGCGCCGCCGAGATATCGAACGATTTTTGCCGCCGAGAGATCATGCTAAACGTGGAGAGCGGTCAGAGAGAAAAACGCTTTTTGGCCATAACTTTGGCAGTTTCGTGCGGAAAATTTTGATTTTTTGTAGAAACATTATCCTTTGCGGTAGAAATAGGCATGAAACTTTTCGTGCCAAAATTCGGCAAAAAGTCCGAAATTTTCGCCGAATTTCGATCTAAAAATCTCGGTTGTTTCTGCAAAGCGCGAGCTAGGATTCTCGCATATATTTTAGAAAAAATCGTTCTAAATTTGTGCCAAGTTTTATCAAAATCTGAGCGTTGAACTTGGGGTACTTCCCCTGTCAGTCGTACAGAATGTAAATTTCGTGTTACTACATATTCTAAAAGGCATAATATGTATATATTCCCATTCCTGAAGCCAAAAAACAGTATCCATGCCAACAATGGCTTCTACAAGCCATTAAACCGCTCTATTTTGTGCTTTACTTCTATATTTATAGGATTCTCGCATATATCTATTTAGAACCTCATTTTGAAAAGTGCAGCGAAAACCTCTCGAAAAAGCAGACACAATTGCCTATAAAATCAAAATTCAAGTTCAATGTTTGTATAAATCACAAAAAAACCATTTGCCACGGATAATTCAACACGCTGTCTTTTTGGTAAATCAAGTAAAAATAACAAAAATACATTTCGACCACGGCAGGATTCGAACCTACAATCTTCGGTTCCGTAGACCGACGCGTTATCCATTGCGCCACGCGGCCATGGAAGAATTGTTCCTGGGGTTTCCTTTCGAATGGACCCGAACGAAAGAAAAAGAATTGCTTTGGGTTTTGCAAAAAAGTCGGTTTTGAAATACGATTTTCTCTAAAATTTTTTGATTTCATAAATATTATAAGTTTTTTGCAAATATCTTTAAAAAATTTTAGGGTGGATTCCATTTTTTTAGTTCAATTGACCAGACCATTTACCTTAGGTCGATATTGACGGGAAAGAAGTTGGTCAAGGGGAAAAAATAGCCAACAAAAAATAAGAAAGTGACTGGAAAATATAGGGACATAGCTGACCCATATGCTGGGGGATCGGCTTTTATTCACCATGTATAAAAATAGATCTTGGTTTTCCGTCACCATTTTTTAGCCGGCCGGGCAAGGAATCATGAAGAGAGTCTCCAAAAATAAAAAAAAACATGAGTTTTTCGCTGAAAAAATATCTATTAATGTAGATGTTATACCTCGATGTGCACAACATACTGTTTAATCCTACATTATTATCTAATATCGATTTTCCAATCAAAAACTTATCAAAAGCCCAAAAAAAGTCAAATTTGTTCCTCGTCACAAGCTCCATAAAAAGTTTAACCCCGATCACCTCTGATACTTTTAGTACAGAATCCTAAACTCGTGTTGTGTGTGTAGTTCGTGCCCGCTGCTCTTCAAGAACGGAATAAGAAGCGGGCCCGCGGGCAAGGTATGCATTTTTTGGAGACAGGGGGGTGGGCCATTGTTTTGTGATTTGCTTGCACTGCGGTTTGTCTACAAACGCGTTGCGTAGTGACCATAGTAAACAATGTATTCTGTTGCAGAGAAATGACAATCAAATCAAAAGCGGTGGATTACAACGATGGAAAATTGGTCTTGGAAGGATATCTCAGCCAGCCGGAGAGGTAAGTTGGAGGTTGAGGATTACTGTAACCCCTGGCAACGTACAGAGGTGGGTCGAAAAGTCGGTCGGCATCGCACAATGGCATTGCGTATTCAGAAAGCTCTTTTTTCACTACGCGTAGCCGGCGCGCTTAATCAGTTTCGTCCAGACCAAGTGTCATAACTGCCAAAAGAGGAGGATGTAAAATGATTCAAGAAAAATATTTTCCCTCGAAAAAGCTCGACATAAAATTCTGATGTGTCATTTCCTCTGATTTCCACCGATACTGGGTGAGCGAGTCGCCGAAAAGAGGTGGGAGACTTCTGGGCTGTTGACGTGTGCCGTGCCTCATGACTGTTTGCGTTGTTGAAGTATATATCTCGCACCAAGGTCTCCGCGCGGTGCACATAATATATCAGGACTTCCTGATGACGTATTTTACAAAGCTCGTAAATCATGAAAGTTTTTACTTCGAAACTTTTCCAAATTCGGCAAAAAATTATTACTGTTGAATGTAGCCGTTGGTGTCGTTTGCTATTGATAAACTTCCAATTATTAAGTATCAATCACAATTCATTCTCTTTTCGGCAATGCAATTTTCAATGCGAGAAATCGCTCACTATTTTCCCGACAGACTGATGCTTGATTTTTTAAGTGCGACGACAAAGTTGCCGGCCGTCGTCATCTACCCAGCCTTTTGGGGAATCACCGACAACGAAAAGGAGGTTGCCAAAGAGCTGGCCAAGGTAAGGACTTGCAGTAGGCATTAGAGCAATAATTGATGCTAAATATTTGATATCTAGTTAACCGTTGCTTTCAGTTGGGTTATGTTGCCCTAGCGGCCTCAATCTACGAGAAAGGTGTCCATCCGAAGAGCCGAGAGGAAGCATTCGGCTTGATAACTCCGCTCTTGCAGAACAGAGTCAAAATCATGAAGCCGCGGATTCTAGCGGCCTACGACTTTGTCAAAGCGATGAAGAATGTGGATAGTCAAAAGGTATGGTACTTACTGTCGAACAAACGTTTTCTTCAGATCTCGGCGATTGGCTACTGTTTCGGAGGCGCTTGCGTCCTCGATCTCGCCAGATACAACGTTGACATCAAAGTGGGCGTTAGTTTTCATGGAGCGTTCAGGCCAATCAAAGAGGGAGAAGATCACTCCAAACTGAAGCCGATTACAACAAGTTTGCTGATTTGTCATGGCGATGCTGATGAGCATGTCAATCCAGAAGTTCCAGCGCTTTTGGAAGAGCTGAGAGCTCGTAAAGCCGACTTCCAATTCATCAGATATGCCAATGCTAAACACGGATTCACAATGCAGGCAGAGCCGGGAGCTTCGGATCTTGTGGGATATAATGAAAAGGCTGATAAGAGGTCAAAGATGGCCATGTTGAATATCTTGAGCGAAGTCATCGGAGTTCCGAAGACACGGAGCCCTCTGAAGAAGATAAGGACTGCGGAGGATAAATAGTATGGCGCATTTTTTGCTCTCTCTGTTGTACCTTTTATAATAAATTTGCCGTCTTATTGTTCAAGTGTAACATCGGTGGCTTTGTTTTTTGTGATTGACGTGTAAATTAAAGCAAGTGTGTTAGGTGCTCAAATTTTTATGAAACTTTAAGCTAGGAGTAAAGAGGATTACATAGTCAAGCCTCTATATTTGGAGTCACCTCGCAAAAAAGTGCATGTTGCTTCGATAAAACCGGGAAATCGGGACATAAATCAAAAAAAAACACAATGGAATCTTACGGACCTCATGTTTCGAGTATATAGTATTCGTCCGTCATAAATGTTGCTCTGATTTTTGGTGTTCCAAAGTATGAAAAACGACTGTGATGCGACCGATAGGAGCCGGCCGGCCCTCCGAATGTTGGGTATGATGAGAAAGCCGATCGGCGCTCCAAACTCGCCATGCTGACGTTTTTCGACGAAATCTTCGGAATTCCGAACAAGGACTATTTTTTGAACTTGTAAAATACGCTACGGGGTGAAACTGAAATAAATTTAAATGTGCGAAAAGTAAAAAAAATTGGTGCGAAAAGTAAAACATTGCGCAGAGCGAAGTAAAGTTTTGTTTCCTCACAGTGCATGTTGCTAATTTCAGTCCGGCGGCTTTCCGAACGAACTAGTCAGGAGGTGGCATACTAAAATTTTCTGTACAGCGCGGTGCGATTACCTTGGTCCCCCTTTTCATTTTCCCCTAATAAACAGGACCAAACGGTATATTCTGCTGTTTTTTCCATATGTGCAAGCAAGTGGGATTTTAAAAAAATCCCAATTGGATCTTGAGACGTTGTGTTCTCAAAGATCGTTAAAATTCTCAAGCTATTTAAATATTGACTTTGGATTTGAGACAAAAATCATCAAGATATTTGTGCTTTCTGCTTTCTACTCTGAGCTCAACCGTCCAACTTTTTCTTTATAAAAGAACTCGAAAGAGAGAAAAGCAATAAGGCAGATAGAGAGCAAACTTTTTTTTGCTTTTTGTAAACATTTTCCCACCAAACATTTCCCAATGTTTCTGCTCTCTTTTTTGTTTATCATCTTTTTGGCAGGTAAAATACGACAATTGAGCTGTTTGAGATTTTTTACTAAATTCGTGCTTCTTTTATTGTAAATTTTTGCCGTGAACTATTCTATTTACATATTAATTTTTTTATTATCGATTGTTTCTTTTGCTTTTATCAACAAAAAAGATGACTTCGAGAAATTTAGAAAAGGCTTGATTTTAGCACCGGCTTTTTGTTGTTCAAAAATGACCGTGAAGTCGGAGACTGTGGAATATAAAGAGCGCGACACCGTGCTTGAAGGGCATTTGTATCAACCGGAAACGTAAGTGCCTATTATTGAGAAATAAGACTTGTTATGTCGACTAAGAATACGTCAGATCCCCAACATAGCATACTTTACACATCATATCTACAATTTGATTTTTTTGTCGCAAAAAAAAATTTTTTTTTGCATAATGCAATTATGAGTAAAAAACATTTTTAAGACTGAAAATAATACACAGTTTTACAGCGTAACCACCAAACACCCCGCAATCCTGGTTTATCCCGCATTCTGGGGCCCAAGTCCGCATGAAAAGAAAGTGGCACATGAGTTAGCTGAAGTAAGCCTTCATTTTGTCTTTTATTACAACGAGACCGCTGACACGAGGTTTTCGCGACTTTTAATTGCCCTTTGCTCTACAAAAGTTTAAACTTGAGCTCAAAATTGCGAACAGTCCAAGTTCAATGAATCTTTAACTTTGAACTCAACATGAATACAAGTTCAAGGTCACAAGAATCTATGCAAATTTTTTATTTGAACGGAAAATTGCACGGCACATTTTTTGGGTCTTGGAAGCAAAAATTTTTCTAGAAGAAAGTCGATTTTTGCCTTTAGAAAATTGCTTTTTCTTCTTGCATACTGACGAATAAGTCTTTACAGACAGAAAGGAAAAGATTTACAGCAAAAATCCTTATGAAATCAACGCTGAATTTGGGCTTGAACTTAGAGGCTAAATTTTTTTGGCATTCAAAATCGAAATTTCGCTTTTTTAGTATTGATTTTCTCAACGTTAACGAGCATTTTTGTAACAAAATTTATATATTCTGCAAAGGAAATTGGTTACTCTATGTACAGATTTTTTGTTTTTACCGATACATCTTCTGGATAACCGTACACGTACAAAAACGTAATGACCACTTTTTATTTTTTCGACACCGATTGTCGGCGAATAAAGTTCGGAATGCTCTGTGCAAAATTACAAACAAATCTTTCCAGTTTTCTAATCCGTTTTATGAATCTACTTAATTACAGTTAGGTTTCATTGCGCTTGTTGCTGACGTCTATGGAAAAGGAGTCCGGCCGCAAAGCCGTGAAGACGCGTTCAAAGCACTTGGGCCGTATTTCGCCGACCGTGAGGGTCTTCTAAAGCCTCGAATTTTGGCAGCATACAACTATATCACTGGATTGCCAAATGTGGACAAGGGCAAGGTAAATTTTTGACATTATGATGAGTTGTTTTAACATGATGACTATTATATTTCTTTTTCAGGTCGGTGCCATTGGCTACTGCTTCGGTGGGACTTGTGTGCTCGATCTGGCTCGCTACAACGTCAATATCGTTGCTGGCGTCAGTTTTCATGGCGGTCTGAAGCCAATAAAAGAAGGAGAAGACCACTCCAAACTCCCTCTAATCAACACATCTCTCTTGATTTGTCATGGCGACGCTGATGAGCATGTGAATCCAACAGTTCCGGCGTTCCTGGAAGAGTTGAGAGCTAGAAAAGCGGACTTCCAGTTCATCAACTACGCCAAGGCCCTTCATGGGTTCACCATGGAGAAGGAGCCGGCCGGCCCTCCGAATGTTGGGTATGATGAGAAAGCGGATCGACGCTCCAAACTGGCGATGCTGACGTTTTTCAACGAAATCTTCGGAATTCCGAATAAGGACTATTTTTTGAATTTGTAAAATACGCTGCGGGGTGAAATTAAAATAAATTTAAATTTACCTGTCGATAACATGAATTGGACGTGTTTCGAGGTGTTTTTTGTAGTAAAATTTGTAAATTCCGCGCTTGATATAAATTTTTATAAGTCTGTCGGGAAAATAATGAGCGCTCTGTCGCAACGAAAATCGCATCACCGCCGAGAAAATAAATTGTGTCGCAGCAAAACCAAATTTCTTTTTATTTCTGCGACGCGATTGGCTCCGCGACATTGCGCTCACTATTTTCCCCACAGACTGGTATGTTTTCTGTTCCATTGTTAGTATCAGTCCGTCGGGAAAATAATGCCAACTCGTCACGCCTTGGAATCGCCCATGATAGTTTTGCGACAGCTAGTCATGGCTGGAGATTTCGACTGTAGCGCGGCAAGGCACTTTGCTGCCACAAGTCCACATTATTTTCCCGACGGACCGATATTCAATTGTGTTTTTCGACTTATAATTTAAAATTTGGTCCATTGATTTCTGATTGTTTATTGTTTTTTTTGCAAGAACATTACATTTCTCTTGTTTGTCACATCAAAGAAGCCGGGAAGTCACGCATGATGCGCAGAATACGAAAATGTATGGAAAAACGTAGTCTTAGCAGAATGCCGGGAAAATAATGAGCACTCTGTCGCTCGCGTCGCTAAAGTGAAAAGCAATTTGAATTTGCCGCGACACAATTCATTTTCTCGGCGGCGATGTGAATTTTCGATGCGACATTGTGCTCATTATTTTCCGAACAGACTGATACAAATAAACGCAGACTATTTTCACTAAGAAAAATGAGTATCTTACCCGACTAAACTATAAATTTTGAAGGGATGCAATTGTAGCTCAGAATCTTGAACGCAAGTTGTGCAGGTAATAGTTTGTATTCGGTGAGTGCGGAAGATGGGGTATATAAAAAGACGATCGAGAGATGGCATAGGTGGAAGGAAAGAAAACAATGGAGTTCCTTCTGTGTTTGTTGTTTATCGGTACGCTCACAGGTAAGGCAATTTTTATGTTATTCAATTTTGATACCAGGTTTAGAGACGGGTTACGCGTTTGATGCTAATCTGTTCGTAAAGTCGCTGGAGTATTTATCACACCAGCAAGTGAACGGACAAGTGTCGATACAATAATTTTTCAGCTATAATTTCAAACTTTGTTCTAAATAAAACCATCCATCATTTCTGGGGAAAAAATAGTTTGTCGAGTTTTGATATTCCAAAGAAAAAAACAAGACTGCAACCTTGGTTTAGGGCAACTGCATAGCCAACCTTGACACGTAAAAACTCGTATTCTACAGGCTCTTACGAAAAACGTGAAGGAAAGTGGAAGGCTATAACTTCCGGCGGAGGCGGCGCAGAGACTTCGTTTTTGAAATGTGTATTTTTAAAAGACATATGTTTTTGTCTATGAAATAACAAGCTTTTATAGTGCAAACTGAGGTCGCTACGACCCTCTGAAGTAGAGGCATCTCTACCCCGAAAACCAGGTTTTTTTCGGTTGAAAATGATCGAGAAATTGCGGACTTTGTCGGTTGAAAATCACCAGGAAATGTTGGATTTTTTGGGGGGTTTTGATATGGGTGATGTTGAAAAAGAAGAGGAAAGTGCCAACACGTGCATTTTTTTCGACGTTTTCTTAAAGACTATATCAAGAAACCCCCAAAAAATCCGACATTTCCTGGTGATTTTCAACCGACAAAGTCCGCAATTTCTCGATCATTTTCAACCGAAAAAGCCTGGTTTTCGGGGTAGAGATGCCTCTACTTCAGAGGGTCGTAGCGACCTCCGTTTGCACTATAAAAGCTTGTTATTTCATAGACAAAAACTTATGTCATTTAAAAATACACATTTCAAACACGAAGTCTCTGCGCCGCCTCCGCCGGAAGTTATGGCCTCCCACTTTCCTTCACGTTTTTTGTAAGACCCTGTAAATGGTTTTCTTTCAGGGGCCGCATCAAGCGTAACAAATTCGACTGTAAAATCAACAACTATTGAATATAAAGACAGTGATACTGTATTAGAAGGGTTTTTATATGAACCGTCAAGGTAAGCAGCCTTTCTTTCTTGAGACTATTTTGTTTAGCGCATCGAACGGTAAGCGTCCAGCAGTATTGATTTACCCAGCCTTTTGGGGTCCAAGCGATCATGAGAAACAAGTCGCGAATGAACTGGCTAGCGTGAGCGTCGTCTTCCAAGTTATAGATTTTTTCCAATCGCAAATGAACGTTGTGGTATTTCTTTCAGCTAGGCTACATCGCCTTCGTTGCTGACGTCTTTGGAAAAGGAGTTCGTCCAAAAACACGGCAAGATGCCTTCAAGAACTTGGGGCAGTACTTTCAAAACAGAGAAGGACTGCTTCGACCAAGAATTATGGCTGCGTACAACTACATAAAAGCGGTGCCTAATGTCGATACTGACAAGGTAAATAGAAATTCACAGGGGAAGTAGCGCAACAGAATTTGTTGTACTTCTCTTGTAAAAGAAATTTCCTTCTTCCTTGCAGATCGCTGCGATTGGCTACTGCTTTGGCGGTGGTTGTGTGCTGGATCTGGCCCGAAACAATGTGAAGCTCGCCGCCGGCGTCAGCTTCCACGGTGTTTTGTTGCCCATAAAGGAGGAGGACTTCTCCAAACTCCCGCCCATCACCACGCCGCTGCTGATTTGTCATGGCGATGCGGACGCGGAGGTTAACCCGAGTGTTCCCGCCTTCATGAAAGAGATGAGAGAGAGGAAAGCGGACTTTCAGTTCGTCAGCTACGCAAAGGCGCTGCATGGATTTACCATGCAGAAAGAGCCGGCGGGCCCGGCTAATGTTGGGTATGATGCGAAGGCTGATCGAAGGTCGAAGGCGGCAATGCTCGACTTGTTCCGTGAGACGATTGGAATTCCAAATATGGGCAACACAGTGTCCAGAAGAAGAAGAGTGATTCGGCGTCAAAATATGTAGAATACACAGATCAATGAAATTTCTTTAATAAATATAGTGATTTTCCCAACAGACTTACATTATCTATGGTCATTAAAAACTAGCTCTGCGAATTGGATGAATTCTGTATGTTTCCCTGAAACAAAATCAACATTTTTGGCATAAAATGAAAGAAGAACACCTCCTCTTGCTAATAATAACTTACTTGACCACTTTTCAGTCCATCTTCATGGAGAAACAGGCTGCACAATATGTCAAAAAAATAAAAATAATTATTTGGCGTCAACCTGCAGTGTGACGGACCTGATCCCGTGGCAAAAAACGTGCCATTTTGCGTTTAGAGGTTGAGCGGAACACTTGACCCAAATCGGAAATTTTGGGTCAAGTGTTTCTCCCGCCGTATTTTGCTGCAAAGTGGAGTCGAACCCGCTCTTGATGCACGTACAGTGCCGGACCTGATCCAGTGGCAAAAAAACGCACCATTTTGCATCCGGGACGCATCAAAAATGTGGCAAAATACCTCTTTTTGTGAGGGCCCTTCAAAACGGAGTTTTTTTTTAGTTGAAGAGTGAGGCATTTTGCCACATTTTTTGATACTCCCCGGATGCAAAATGGTACGTTTTTTGCCGCTGGATCAGGCCCATAACTGTAAATATTTGGTCGATATTTGCCAAAAATTCGTAAAAATCCCAAAACTTCAAAAATTTTTTTAATTCGATTAATTTATGGCACAATGACTTCTTGACAATATTTATGGCTGTTCTATCACATTTTTCGCTACTCTTCTTTATGGTATTTCACCAAAACTGCGTTTTTCCCGACACTTTTTCCAGCGGAACAGTTGACCGTTTCCACCGTGCAGTCGAATGGGGCTCTAAAAGTGGCAAAAATATAACGAAAACTTTTTTAAAATTACATCAAACACATTCTCATCCCAATAGAAAAACTTTTTCATCAAAACTCAAAAAAATTTATATTACACTAGAGCAAGGTCAATATCAGCTCAAAAAACCTCAATTTTTCCTTCCTAGAACCTCCGACTTACTTCAAAACGTATTCCATTTTCATAGCAATCATGACCACCACCGCTTGGCCGGCTTTCACCACATCTCCGGCCTTCACAAACACTTTATCCACAACTCCGGGCATTGGAGAGCGGGCCTGGAGATCCCCTCCGGCTGCTGACTGCTCATCAAATTCTGGAGCCTCCGAAGAGATGGGCCATTCTCGTTGTTCTGAGCCAAATACCTGAAGAAATGGTTTTTCATGATTTGGTTCAACTCATAGGGAAAGACTTGACTCAAAATTGAAAAAACTAAGCGTAAAACTTGACACATGATGCCCTAAAATACCCAATCGTCACAAAAAATTTCCCTCAAATCGTCTTTCAGTTATAAATTTAGTTTACATTAATTTCGAGCCATGTCTTTCTCTCTGAAATTTAGAGAAAGACTTGACTCAAAAACCCCAAAAAAGCATAAAATAAGGTAAATGGTTTTCAAATAATCGAATCAAACACCTCAAAGCCGTAAATTCCCATATTTTCTCTAATTTGAGTCAAGTCTTCCCCTCATTAAAATTCAAGAGAAACACTTGACCCACAAATCTCAAAACCTCAGTGGGGTCTCAAAATCAATTTATAAGTCAAAATAAACCCAAATCCCTCAAAAATTTACACCACACCATCAAAAATCTCAAAAATTTTTACCTGAAGACCTTCTTTTAGCTGAACCGCTTTGACGGGCCACATTTTTCCGTCCAATTCCACTCTAAAATTGACCACCGGCAGTCCAGTCGTCTCTGTTTTGGTTCTTTCCACTTCACTGATCTTTACACTCAGTCCATCCACTTGAATTTCACTGATTTCCCCATTGGATCGCTCGATTTTGGCCTTTTGCTTCGTTTTTTCGCTCAAATTCACTTCAATTTCCGGGGTATAATTCAGTCGGAACCAATCTTTGGCCGTAAAAGGTCCTGTGACGTCATTCTCCAAAGTATTTGCCAACAATAAACGTGAGGCCACGCCTTCTACCACCGATTCCTTCGATGGGATTTCGATTTTTTCCGTATCCAGCAGCTCTTTTTCGTGGTCCGCAATAAAGTCGGTGTAGATTTCGGCGGTGCCGAATTTCGGATGATTCAAGCATCTCCGGACAAAATCCACATTGTTCGCGAGGCCTCCAATGTGTGTGTTGTTCAGGGCGGCGTCCAGATTGGCGATCGCTTCGGGCCGATCCCGTCCCCAGACAATAACTTTGGCGATCATTGGGTCGTAATGCACCGTAACTTCGTCGCCCTCCACCACGCCGGAATCGATTCGGGCGTTTGCTGGGAACTGGAGGTGCTCCAATTTTCCTGAAACCCGAAAAAATTTGCATAAAATCCATAAAAATCCGATTTTTCAGTGATGGAAAAACTTGATTCAGAATGGGTCAAGTGTCTCCCTCATGGAAAAAAATAAAATATCATCAAATTTCAGTCATAAACAAAAATATTTTCACAATTTCACACCCTTATATCAAAATCTTTAGCTAATTGAAATTCCAGAGAAACACTTGACCCAAAATATCGCTGTGTACGTATTTGACATTCAAAAACAGTCACATACTAACCGAAAATCCCCAATACTTCACCAATTGCATTTTGAGTCAACTCTTCCTCTCCCTTCAACTTTTTGGGTCAAGTCTTTCCCTCCTCCTCAAAAAAATCCTAAAATCCTCAAAACTCACCGGCCGTAGGCATAAAATAAAATAGTATCTTATTTCAGCCATAAACAAAAATACTTTTCAATTTCATATCTTCATACCAAAATTTTTAGCTAATTGAAATTCCAGAGAAACACTTGACCCAAAATATCACAGTTACACGTATTTTACGTTCAAAAACTGTCACATACTAATCAAGAACCTCAAACATTTCACTAATTGCATTTTGAGTCAACTCTTCCTCTCCCTTCAACTTTTTGGGTCAAGTCTTTCCCTCATCCCAAAGACATCTTAAACCTTCAAAACTTACCGGCCGTAGGCATGAAACCTGCATTGCTGTCTTCCGCATACACTCTAGCCTCCAAAGCATGTCCATTCAGCTTGATTTCCTCCTGTTTCAGCGGTAATTTTCCTCCTTCAGCCACAGTAAACTGCCATTCCACCAAATCCACGCCGGTAATCGCTTCTGTCACTGGATGTTCGACCTGTAGGCGGGTGTTCATTTCCATGAAATAGAATTTTTGAGTCAATGGGTCCATGATGAATTCCACTGTGCCAGCGCCAGTGTAATTTACGGCGCGGGCGGCGTTCGCTCCGGCTTCGCCAATTCGTTTGCGAACTTCCGACGTCAATCCGGGGGCCGGGGCTTCTTCGATGACTTTTTGATGACGTCGTTGGATGCTGCAGTCTCTTTCCCAGAGGTATACATAGTTCTGATGTTGGTCGCCAAATACCTAAAAATCGAAGGAAATATGTAAATTTTTGGGAGAAAAAATGTGCATTCTACACTGACAGTTCATAAGACATCTATTTAATAAAATTTCCAGTCGAACAAAGCCCAAAAATCATCAAAAAAAATTAAATCTTGAACATCCCTGATATTACACTTGACAAAACTCCCAAAAAAAACTTTCAAAATAACTCCCAATCATTGTAAAATACGTACACATGAACGTCACCGAGCTCTTCGTTCAAGTCAGTGACGTCCTTTCTTCAAAATAACCCCAATTTTACTTCCAAGAGAACACTTGACCCAACCGAGTCAACTCTCCCTCTCATCTCCAAAATCTTCGTACCTGAATTTCCACATGTCTCGGTCGTTCCACATACTTCTCGATGATCATAGCCGAATTCCCAAAGGCTTTATCGGACTCTGTTTTCGCGCTCTCCAAGGCTTGATGGAAATCGGCTTCAGTCCTGGCAATCCTCATTCCCTTGCCGCCTCCGCCGCAAACCGCTTTTATCATGACAGGAAATCCTGTAAAGTTCTTGGTGAAGCTTGTAAAGGGGTATGGAGAGCAAAGGTTTGAGAGGAGAGAGAAAAATTATATTACACTTGACACCTCAGATAAAACTATCTGGGAGATGTCTAAATCACAATGGGAATGGATCAAATTATAATATAAGGCTTCTTTTTCACTTCTCAAAACAATAATACTAGCTAAATAATCCCAATCTGGCAAAAACTAATAAAATTTATATTAGGTATACCTTAGCAAATAAATGGCAGTAAGACATGGAATTTGTGACCGAAATATATAAAAAATACACAAAAGAGAAAATCAAACCCGTATTTTACCCATTAAACGAAAAAAACTGCGTAATTTTTTCCAAAAATTCATCGAAATTATATTATACTGGACACTAAGTCTTCACCTTCTAAAAAATGGCCATAAAACCTCTGAATCAAGTTCAAAATAAGTAAATAACATCTTGTCAGACAGATCATGCCCTATTTTCCCCCCTCCACCCTTCTTACCTATCCTTTTTGCCTCATCAAGCAACAATTCGGGACTTTGATCATCCCCATTATACCCTTCAATGACCGGAACCTTGGCTTCGATCATGATTTTCTTCGCCGTATTCTTCATTCCCATGTCTCGAATGGCATGTGGCGGAGGTCCCATGAAAATCAGTCCATTTTCAGCGCATTTCTCGGCAAATTCCGCGTTCTCACTCAGAAATCCGTACCCGGGATGGATTGCTTGAGCTCCGGCCTTCAAAGCCACGTCGATAATTCGATCCCCACACAAATAACTTTGCAGCGGCGATGGTTCACCGATCCGGAACGCCTTCTCGGCCATTTTGGTGTGCTGGGAATGGACATCGGCGGAGGAATAAACGGCGACAGATTCGATCCCCAATTTTTTGGCTGTTTTCATCACTCGGCACGCGATTTCTCCTCGATTTGCGATGAGAACTCGACGAATCTTGGTGGCATTTGCTGAAAAATTAAATTCGCTATAATTTGGTATCTGATTTTGTAAAATCCGAGGACTTTTGAGTTCAATTTCAATCATTTTTCGGCCAAAGACAGCTGACCAGAGAGGTCTAGGATAATATTCCTATAACTTTTGAACAAAAAGGGATATTAGAAAGGTGTATATCTCACTTTATACCTTATTCAACCAGCTACAAATGATATAAATAGCTCCCTCCCAGCCACTTCCGTCTTTGAGAAATGAAGGATAAAAAATAAGCCATGGATAATATAAAAAGTTAAGAAATTAATGGTCATATCAGAAAAACCGGAAGGAAAATAGCCGTAAAATATAGTCTATGACCTAGAGAGGCTCATAAGCTTCCATTTGATATATTAAGCATGTCAATTTGTTACCTAAATTATTCCTTTTCAACCAAATCTTTAGTGACCCCAAATTTCCATAAAATAATATAAAAATCGCAAAAAAATGTAAAATACAAAATCTCCACTAATAATTTTAATAAATTTACCTTGTCCCGAAGCTTGTCGTTGAAGTTGGACCAACGAAAGTCGTGTGCGCAGCATTTTTTCCACTTTTTAATTAGCTCTGGGCCTAGTGTAAGATGTTATCGACGACCGATGGGGCTGGTTGAGACAAAATAACGTGCTTTTAAAATTTGTGCGGTTCATTTCGTCTTTTTATGCCATCAGACGCAATTTTGTTCACAGAACATTCACAAATTGCACAATGCCAAGAACTTTTTGGCATTCGTTGTTTTCGTGGTGGGGCGTAAATAAATAATTGATGTTCTTGTTTATTTTCGCAAAATTGCTGTGGAATTGTAAAATACAAGTGTGAAAGCTAGTGTTAAGTTTTAAATTTTGCTTTATTACTCCATTTTAGGCTTAAAAATCCAAATTTCAGCTGATTGTTACCTAAAACAATATAATTTTTGCCAATTTCCCCCGCAGTTTCGGGGGCCGAACAATTTTGGCTACAAACTCCCGACCAACGTGCCCTGCAGCAGTTGAGAAAACACATTTATTAGCGGAAAAAGCAGGGGGAACTATCAACAAGACGCGTCTTTTACGAGCTTTTTCTCGGGCCTCGACCTCCGCGCTCTCCGCTTCCCGCACACTCTCTCGGCTCGGGGAGCAATTTGGAGGCGCATTCGTCTCCATTGGAGACTTGACGGGCGAATGTTTTAGCCCTTCAAACTCGACGAATTTGGACTGTTTTTCACATTTTTCCCTCGACTTTTCCCCGAATTTGATATTCATAGCGAAAAATTTGTTTTTCAGTTAGGATTACGGTAGTTTTGATAGTAAATTGCGGTTGAGTGTGAACTCTGGACTTTTCGGAGAAATATTTTTTGTTTTTGCAATTGGTTTGAACTGTGAGATTGTTGGAAATGGCTAAAAATATTATTTATGATCGTCAATTTGAATGGATGGCAAAAATTTTGATTTTTCTCTAAAAAATTATGTTACACTTGAGGGTTTTTTGCGTTTATTATGTAGATAACGAACTGTTAGGTGTATTGTAAGCCATTTTGCGTCGTATTTCAATAGTATTTTTAGTGAAAATCGGGTTTTTTTGACATTACACTTGTAATATTAGTGTCGATTTTTTGAAATGCCATAAAATAATTTTTATGTGATGAACTTTTGATGTCTATGTATTTTTGAGCTCACAAAGGCATGTTTTATCGATGAAAGCAACCATTTCCCCCCAAATCGACTAGAAATTTCATTATCGACCATTTTTTTGCGGTACCTTTACCTTTTTTCAGCCCAGAAATGGAGCCGGTGGCCAAGACGAGGAAGCGATTTCCCTGCCTTCATTGTAACGAAGTTTGCTCTTCCAATTACAACCTTGACCGTCATATCGCTCGACGACATCCGGATCGACTGCCTGAGGTGATACGAAAGAAAAGAAAAGCCTCCAATGTCCCACTAAGTTTTGTCCTACCCCAATCAATCGGAGCTCTCCAGCCGACGGCCAGCGATAATATTGATGGGTTTGATGGTAAGCACATTTGCTTTACAGTGTCTTCTTCACTTTTAGGTATCAAAATATCCAGGAAGTTTAGAAAGAAAAAAGTTATGGCCATTTTTTCCAACCTCCTCTGCAGTTTGATGGATAAGATAATATTTTGGTCTGTATTTCAGACACGATTGAACTAACGTTCGAGCCGGCCATGCCAAAGCCTCGAAGGCATATTTGCAGTGTTTGTGAGCAAGCGTTCGGTAGTAAGTTCAATTTGGAGAGGCACAAAAGACGTCGTCATAACCATGACCCTCAAGAAAGTCAAGCCGCCGATCACTTTGACCAACAGCTGGGAATCGCTGAGAACTCGCCATTTGAGATTCAATCAACGTCTCAAGGGGCTTTTCAACGTGAGTCGACCTTGTTTTAGATATTTCTTTTTGGATTTTTAGAAAAAAACTGATTTTTTTCGATTTTTGGTAAAATTGGATATAAAATGAAGAGAAAAAATAAATTTATCGTATTTGACCAGTTGATTGACCATTTGACTGCAATTTTTGCCTAATTTTACATCAATTTTCTTTCAGATTTACCTCCTAAGAAGCGATTCCAATGTTCGTATTGCTCCGAATTTTGTGTGACCCGTTTTAATCTCAACCGACATATTGATCGCATCCACCCGGACAAAAGTCATGATAATACGGATCGGGAACGACGCAGTATGTTCTGTTATCTTTGCTCGTTCTTCTGCTATCGTCTGGCGCAGTTGAGCAAACATGTGGAAGTTGTGCATAATATACGAATGGACCCGGTGGTGGGCAGAGTCGTTGGCGTTGATCAATTTCAAGTGAGTTTTGGAGGTTTTGGGAGATAATGACATTAAAATTTTTTGGATTCAATCTTTTTTGCGATTTTTTGAAAATGAGAGAAACACTTGACTCAAAATTTTCTTGTTGAGACAAGTGTTTCCCTCGATGCATTGATTGGAAAAGATAGTTTCATTAGCGAAAAATATCACTGGTTAGAAGGGAAGAGTTGACTCAAATTATCAGTTTTGGGTCAAGTGTTTCTCTCACTCGATTTATGCGGAAAGCAAGTCAATTTTTTCAAAAATTAGCTTTATTGGGTTGTATGTGGTCTGTAGTAAAAACTAATATCAAAAATTTTCATTTTTTAGAAATAATTTATATAACTTTAGGCACTAGTAACAAATCTCCGCGCCCGCTTCGCCGGCACTCTCCAGCGTCGCCCGAAAGAAGAGAACGGCGAGGACGAACACTGGACCTTCAAATGCAACCATTCCACGCCCATAAACGATCAAGATGAGACGAAAATGCCCCGAAAATCGCCTTGCACCTTCTACCTGCACATAAAAAGGTCCGGCGAAAACTACGATATCACCGGCTGTGGCACCCATTTCGGTCATGAAGTCCTTCCCCACGAATTTCCGGACAGTCTGCTGCAGGATGACCAGTACTATGACGATCAACAGATTGGGCATTTGGGGCATGTCACGTATTTGCACGAACAAAGTGGAGAGAGCAATTTCAATGTGATGGAGCTGGTAAATAGCATGGTGAATGGATACGAAGAGGATCAAGCTGATGGGGTAAGGGCTTGAAAATTGTTGTGGAATGGGTTTTTTGGGGATTATGCCCTCAGGGAATATAGATTTTTGAAAACGAAATTTTTTGGGGTGACCAATAAAAACCGGCTGAATCTGATGAGATAATCTAAATCTAACTAGAAAAATTTGGTTGGAAATTTTTAACGGGTCTTTGAGGATGATTTAGCGATCTTTTTAGTTGATGGACCAGTGTTTCTTGTCGATGAAAAAGCCGATTTTTGAAATTTACATCAAAATTTATGGGGTAACCGGAAAAAATGCATTTTGCCTGGGGCGATGTAAATATTTCTTTGTAAAATTGCCTTTTTTGAAAATTTTAGAGCCTCTACTGTCTATCAGTATCAATTTGAATCTAGTTGAACTTTTTTCATCAATGAAATTTGAGAATTTTTGAGAACCATTTTCAGATGAGTGACGAAACCGGAATACTCCTCAAAAAAGCGGTCCATCACTATCAACCATCCCTCGGAAATCGACTTTCCAGCTCCGACGACGGTCAGGATGGCCAGTTCGTGATAGCGGAGCCGAATTTTTTGATGAAAACGGAAGGGAATCTACCGTTTCCGCAGCAAGTTCTGGAGGAGTCGGATGGAGAAGCAGCGGCGGATAATTCGTGGAGTGGCTTTGAAGGTAGGCGTTGAAAATACGATGTTTGGTCTTTGAATACTTCTAAATTGTCTTGGACAAGTTTTTTTTGGTTTTCAAGTTTTCGTGGTGAGACCTAAAATTTTAGTCGGGTCCCACAACGAAAGTTTTGATGGTGTGAATTTGTCCCGGGACAGCTTAAATATGGCCAAAATGGCTATGGTTTTCGATTCATGCATTTTTGGCTATTTTTTCAAAGCTTTTTTGGGTCCCACCACGAAAACCCTGAAGATCAGGCTAAAATAGTGTCATGGTGTCTCAAAATGACTTTGCTACAATTCTATGCTTACTGTCTATCCATACGAGCTTCCATTCTGCAAATTTTTACAATTTATTGCATGGATTTCGGTCCCACCACGAAAACCCTGAACATCAGGGAAAGTGCCTAAAACAATGTCATATTGCCTCAAAATGACTTTGCTACAATTCTATGCTTTCTGTCTATCCATACGAGCTTCCATTCTGCAATTTTTAATAATATTATTGCATAGATTTGAGTCCCACCACGAAAACCCTGAAGATCAGGGCAATCATCTAAAACAATGTCCTGCCGACCCCAAATGTCTCCTAATGTTATTATGATCACTCCTCTTCCGTTTTTTATCGGTCGTCGGATCTCTTCCACCACTTTTTTTGCTTAGAAATCTGTTTATGTCAGCAAAGAACATCCAAAACTCAGTGCTCCGGCACGAGAAAGACTTTGTATTTTGTAGTGGGCAGGTGATAAAATGTCATTGATCGGAGTCGATGTGAGTGTGGGGTTGCATCCAGACGGACTTTGAACATAAAAAGTTTCATTTTTATTAAATTTTGGATCAAGTTTTTGAGATTTTTTTGGTGAAAAAAATTAGTTGTTTTGAGGTCCTTGGATACTTTTTGATAGCATTTTGGAGGGTTTTGGGGGTGAAATATGCAAACGTATGGTTTTTTTGATGTAAAATGTGGGTTGTAGTATATTACTTTAGGTAAAAAATGACTAATTTTGGCTGTTTTTGAAGTTGTTTGCTTCCAAAACATATCTGAAACGTAGTCCTGCACACCTTTCTTGTTATATTTTATATTGATACTAGAAAGTCCATCCATAACTACGTTTCTTATAGCCTTCTGGCTTGGGTTTTTGTGTTTTGCTGATAAAAAAATTGGATAAACTCTCCATAAGTTGTGTTCATATGAGAGTATAGATGGTGTGGTTTGTATATACATTTGAAATTTTACCAATAACATAAAGTTATGACCTTGTTTTGACTAAAAATGGGGATTTTTTATGTTATTCTAGTTTGTAGTGGTAAGTTGGAGCGACTACAGCACGCCTTTTTGGAATTTGTGATCGCAGAGTTCTAGTCGGTTTAAATAGGGGTTAATTCAGCAATTTAAATGAAGTTTTCTACCTTAATTTGCTCTTATATTGTACTTGACATCTAAGTGGAATGAGAGAGATAAAGCGTCGCCGGTTCCTTCAGTATGGCTTCCCACTACTTTCTATAGGTAAGCACAAGATCTTAGCTTCAATTTAAGATCAAGATTGTCAAAATTCGGCGCGATATAAAAGGTTTTTTATATTATACTAGACATTGGACCCAATTTTTTCGGAAAATCCCCAAATCCCCCCATAAAATCTCCTCGTCTCATCGTGAATTCGAGTATAAATGAAATTCAGGACATAAAGAGTCTATCAAAGTTTCAGAATACGGCTTGAAATTCGATTACATTACTTTATATTCACTACGGAGTCTAAAAAAAATCGAATTCGGTAGAGTCGGAAGATTAAATCACCAACCGAATTAGCGCTGTGTTTGGAGAGTGCAAAGAGCGGGCTTTATAAACTGACGTTCCAAGCAAAGTCCAACTTCAAAACGCAGACGAAACGCCGAAAGACTCGGATTTGAAGAGAAATTCGATTTTTTCTTCAAAAAAGACATATTTTTTCAGCTTACTCTGGCAACATCGTATTTTAAAATTATTGTCTTGTCTGTTTTTATCATTTGCCGTCTTTTCTTGGCCAATTTGGACCAATATTGTCCTTATTTTTGCTAATTTAGAGAAATTTTCTCTGATTCTCTCTGTTTTCCGTTGTATTTCGCCGCCGTCTCTCTATTTTGCACGCTCTTTTCCCATCCCTTTGACCGCTCTCCTCTTTTTTCGCGCTCTTTCGTCAGTGTGTACCCACCCTCTTTGTTGAGCGCAATATTTCGTCTTTCCCGGGCCGTCTCCAGCATTTGCCACGTTCTCTTCGCCTCGCAACGGCGTTTTCTCGTAAAATTCCAAATTTTGTCGATTTCCGACGCAAGTGCTGAGCGTAGTATTGACTCCAGTGCATGTCCATAGCGTTTTCGTCTTTCCCATACCTTCCGCGCTCCCGCTTTCCGCAATTGTTTCAGTTTTTGTTGTATGAACCGTCTTTCTTATCTTACACTAGGCCGGATGTGGTCCAAACCGCACAAAATGAATGGCTTTTGCATTTCAGAGGGTCGAATGGCATCCTCTCGGGCCAGTCCAGACTATGTACACAAACTCCAGCATCTCGACAAGGTGGAGGGCGATGTTTTTCGGTAAGAGTTTACAATTTTTGTTGTTCTTCGATTTTTAGGTACTAAATGAAGTGGAAATGATGTTGTCAGGCATGTAATAGAAGTTTACTGGCTTGTTGTTTCTTTTACGCACAAAAAATGCACTAATTAAGCTATTTTTTGTTGAGTTCTTGCTGCAGACATCTGCTTTTGCCATGGATAATATAATTTTTGCTCGGAACGTTGTTTTTTGAATTCTTTCAGAAATAATGGACAAAGACAAAGTCTGTAGGGTCTGAAATAGCGTTTTCTTTTACTCTGCAGAGGAGCAGGATAATTACATTATCCATTACATGGATAATGGAATTCCTTCAAAATTACTGGGGAAATGGAGAAGTATATGTGCTAAATTGGACGCGTATGGCATATTTAGGCTATTATAAGTGAAACGGGAGGTTTTTACGACAAACATTATATTATCCATGTCAGCTTGACATGTTTTACGCAAATTTTTAATGTTTTCTCGCTGTTTATGGTTATAAGCGGCAAACAGGATAAAGATTATGTGCTTTTAAAAGTTCGGGCAACTTTTTTCACTGATTTATCCTATAAATTCTCTATTTTCAGATCAAACTTCCTGATCAGTCCGACTGGCCGGGGTGATAACGCCTACGGGGGTTTGTTGTTTGCTCAATCCCTTCAGGCTGCTGTGCAGACTGTGGACACCGAAAAATTCTCGCCCCATGCCATCCATTCCTTCTTTATTTTGAATGTTTCCGTCAAGAAGCCTGTCGATTATAAGATCAGCCGAGTGCGCGACGGCCGAAGTTATTGCACTCGATCGGTTCAGGCCGAACAAGATGGAAAAACAGTATTTATTAGCCAAGCGTCTTTCTGCTCGGTGAGTATTTGAATTTTTTGTTTTGATTTTTAGGTCGATGTCATGGATAATATCGAAATGCTGAAATAAAAGGAAATATTTTGAAAAATGGAGTATTTCAGAAGGAACCAACCTCCATAGAGCATCAAACCGCCATGCCGAAAGTTCCAATGCCCGAGGAATTGGTCGACAACATCGACTTTTGCCGCGAACACCTGGCAAAACATCGAGCAGGCGAGATTCAACTCCCCAAAATGATCGAAATGGACATGTCCCATCGGGTCGATGGCGCTGAAGACGATGTGTTCGAATTCCGCGCCTGCAACCCCACAAAATACTTTGCTCTTGACAAGTTTGGAGTTGAACCTTTGTGTGTATGGTTGAGATGCGCCGTTCCGTTGGATAATTGCAAGGATCTGCATCGATTTTTGGTCGCATACATCACAGATGCGACCCTTGTCAATGTAGCGAATAAGCCGCATGTGAGCAATGGTTATGTCCCGTCTATGTTGTTCTCTTTGGATCATACTGTTAGGTTCCATGAAGATGATTTCCGAGCCGATGAATGGTTGTTGTACGAGAATTGGAGCCCATGGTCGAGTAAGTTGTTTTACATTGGAGCTTTTTTTTTGGATTTTAGGCAAGAAGAAGACGAGGAATAGAGAAATGGGAAGGATAATACAGGGTGGGGCATCTTTGTGGCCCGATTTGAATTGACTATAACTTCTTTAGTTTTTGGCCAAATTTTAAAATTCTTTTTTTCCCTGAATCGTCAGCCAACCCCATTTTGTTTGATACCAAATATGTTACACATAGGTGAGTGTCATCTACAGTTATTGGATTTATTCTTGGAGTTCATTTTTTGGTCGTTTTTCGGTTGTTTTTTCGGCCTTTCCCGGTGTGTCCGAAAATGGAGTCCGGTGTGGAAGAAAAGGCTTGGTCTGTGGTTTGGTAGAGCAAGTACGGTTCGGCGCTAAATTTTCAAATGGGGATAACGCATGAAATACGGACGCAATGCCTAACCTCCAGATCGCAAGACAATTCGACGTTCGTGGAATAAGTTCCTTGAGACTGGCAGCGTTAACAGGAAACAAAAAAAGCAGGAAAGATGAGTACGAACGGAGCTGAAAATTTAAGAAGTTTTGTCAAAATTCCGAGAAAATCCGCATATGAATACACGAAGTTTGGCCAGAACCGAGGGAATGCCTTCAGCAAGGACCATTCGACGAACTCTGGAGGTTGATCTTCACTTTTTGTTCTTATTGTCATCGTCGATTTTCGGGAGGGGAAATTCCACCGTATTTTTCTTCCGGACCGTACTCCATTTCTGGACACACCGGGAAAGACCGAAAAAACAACCGAAAAACGACCGAAAAAATGAACTCCAAGAATAAATCCAATAACTGTAGATATACACTTACTATGTATAACATATTTGGTATGAAACAAAATGGGGTTGGCTGACGATTCAGGGAAAAAAAGAATTTTAAAATTTGGCCAAAAACTAAAGAAGTTATAGCCAATTCAAATCGGGCCACGAAGATGCCCCACCCTGTATAAAATTTTCCCAAAAATGTCATGGATAATATAAAAAATGAATGATTTTAACTATAATCTGGGGCAAGGGATAGCGATGGTGGTATCTAAAGATAGCTAAAGGAATGTTGAGTATTTAGAACAGAGAACTTTAGGTTGAGAGGGCTGGAATTGGCAGATTTTGGAGCTTCCATCTAATGGGCATAGAAAATATAAAAAATGATTCTTTTTTGATCAGAATAGAGTCGTAATAGGTAGATGGTTATATATAGAGATAGCTGAGGAATTATTGAGTAGGGTAGACTAAGAATTTTTTGGTTGAGAGGTTAAAATTGAGGAAATTTTGAGGTATTTATCTGATAGACATGGATAATATAATAAAACCCTGTTTTTCAATTCCATTTCGGGTAAATGAATAAATAATAGACTGTATTGACAGGAGTCATGTTTTGAGACTATTTTAAAGCTACGAATTTTATTTGAGGCATAGGATTTTTGAATATTTTTAAAAAATCAAAAAATCCAAGATTTTCATGACTTTTCCCCAAATTTTGAACTTTGTGTGTCCACAAAAAGATCATTGCATCTTACCAATTGCAGAGAATGGTCGTGCGTTCTCCGAAGGCCGTCTCTGGACCCGCGATGGCCGTCTGATCCTCTCCGCAAGCCAAGAATCTCTGAGCCGAACCCGCGGCGAAAAATCGACGCTCTAAGGCTCAAAAAAGAAACGGTGATAACGCGTTTTTAAAAGCATAATTCTCTCTCCTGCCGCAGGGTAAAACTCGTCTAACTTCACTTTTTCGTAGTCGATTACTGTGGCTTCCCACATGGTAATATTGTATTAGTCTTTTTTTAGGGTAAAACCTGGTGAATAAATGATAATTTTAATTGATTCATTGAGAAATTGTTCTGTCAACTAACAAAAACTGGCTCTGTGGTTGTGTGAAGAGGTTTTTCGGGTCGTTTACTGCTTCCCATACTCGTTTCCAATAGCAATTACATCAATTTCTGGCTTAACCTTGTCGTATAAAGTGGGAAAAGCGCCGTTGCAGTGGTATTTCTCGCGAACCTGAAGGTAAATTGTAACATAAGAGAGTGTAAAATACAGTGCCGGAACCAGTGGCAAAAAATCTACCATTTTGCATCCGGGAAGTATCAAAAAATGTGGCAAAATGCCTCCCTCTCCAACTGAAAAAACTCCGTGTTGAAGGGAAATTGGAGTTTTTTCACTTGGAGAGGGAGGTATTTTGGAACTTTTTTGATACTTCTCGGATGCAAAATGGTACGTTTTTTGCCACTAGATCAGATCCGGCACAAATATGCCGAGAGAAACACTTGACCCAAAATTTCCTCTTTGGGTCAAGTGTTCCTTTCAACCTCAAAACGCACCTGTCGATAAAGCGTAAGGTCGAACATGGTCTCAAACTCCTCTTCGGTCATGAAAATGTCCGCATACAGGAAGGAGTACCCTCCAACATCACGAGTGAACTTCTCCATGGCTCTCATTGCGGTAGTTGGATTGTAATGTTCTCGTCGTTTCACTGGCCCCGGTGTCCCATAAACTCCCAAGTCATTGAACATGGCCCAGTTAGTCCCTGGGGTCTTCAATTTCTCGGGCGGCGATCGAACTTGACCTTGTGGACCACGCTGATGATCGTAGATTCGGCATGGATAAACGAGCAAAGGATAGGTGTCAAAAAGGTCAATGGCAGTGTTCACTTGCTCCTTGAGCGTTGATAGAGGCATTACGATGTCTTGGAAGACCTGGAGAGTTTAAAAGATGTTTGAATTTTATTGTTTTTGCTACCTGTTTGGCAAAAGTCATCTCTCGAACAACTTTGGTGGTGGTAAATTTGAGGAAAGCTGGTTTAGGAGGGCACATCCAACCTAGGAAGAACCTAAAATACGAGTTTAAATAGATTTAGGGCAAACAATGACTTTTTATGACAAAAAAGTCAAAAATTTTATATTGTACTAGACAAAAAAATCTCAGTTTTTACCTGAAAACCGGGTGATTTCCAAACGGAATCATCGATTCGAGAACCCAGAAGATAGCTCGGTTATGGCGCAGTAAATAGTCTTGGATTGGGATGTATTCTTCGCCTTGTTTGTTCAAAAATTCCTCTGTATGTTTGTAGAACCAGGGCTTGTACCAGGTGGTTACTGCGTTAATCTAAAATAAGCCATAGATTTATAAGCTCAGAAAAATTTCCATTCACCTTTCTTTTCTTTTCCGGGGTATCTGCATCATCGAAATTTCCGACCATAATTACTGCGTCATCTTTCGTATAAATTGTCGCCTCCAAATAGTCGGGAACTTTAGCGTCCTTATTGTTGGCCCCAGACAGCTCCATCATCTTCTTACAGTACTCATCTTGACTGTGGACCTATAATTTGTCATAAAATTAGCTTGAAACAGAATGCCAAATAATTCCAAGTTTTCGTGGTGGGACTCAAAATTATTTAAAAAAATCTTCGAATATTTATGTCTAAGCTTACTGGAATGTATTGCATATGCACGTAGGGCTTGATTCTGATGATTTGAACCTCCAAAGCGACCAAAAATCCAAGGGTTCCGTGAGACCAAGGGAGGGTATAAAAAAGATCCGAGTGCTCGTCTTTTGTTACGTGAATTAGCTCACCATCGGCGGTTACAACGTCGTATGAAACCACTGTTTCTTGGTATAGACCGGCCTGAAGGAATTCGAATTGAATTTACCATAAAAAATGAAGTTTTTTTTACCGAGAGAAAGACTTGACTCAAAAATGGAATTTCTTGTCTTTTTGAGTCAAGTCTTTCTCTCAATGAAAAATTGGGGTTGGTAAAAGGTTGTCAAACACTTTTAAAAATTTTTCTTTGTTCCGACGGAAGACTTGACTCGAATTAAATTTCTTGAGTCAAGTCTTTCTCTCGGTCACAAACCCCCATAATCAGCTTACCTTGTGAGAATAGGTGGTCATGCCGACTCCAAAAGCCAATCCACCAGCAGTAGCATCTCCAATTTCCAGCGTAACGGCCAAAGTATATCCTTTAGGGGTCAAATACCGGGTCAAGTCTCTCACTGTGACATTTGGCTCCACTTTGATTGTCATTTTCTCCTCATTCAGCTCCAAAATGTCGTACAATGGGATTGGGATTTGATGGCATTTGTCCTGAAAGTTGGATCATGCATTTTTCGAGTAAAGAAACGATAATTTCGCTCTATTTTTGCTTACTTTTCTGAAAAATGTGGTCGATAGACTGAGCCAAGTGGGCTTGGCGGTGCACATTGGTCTCCGCTCGCTGACCGGCTGCTCGTTCCATTTTCGAACGGCCTCTTGGATCTTTCGGACGCGCTTCAAATGGTCTTGAGGAGCTGAGAAAAAGGTTCGTTGGATCCAGCAACGAATCTGCATCCCCAAATCGAAGAGCTGAAAAAATTATCAGATTTTGACCACTAAAAGTTCTATTAAATAATAGGAGAAAATCTGGCAGCTTCATGATGACAAAAAAAAATTTTTTTTGAGAAGTAAAATTCGCAATAAACTTACAAAACTAGCCGGCAAACAGAACACAACAATCACCAGCCCTCGGTTGTCCTCCAGCCATCGCACGGTGCGAGCTCGGAGTTTCTCGACAAAACTGGACATCCTGAAAGTAATTTTTTTTTGTAAAATACGCTTGCATGCCCTAAATGTACCATTTTGCATCCGGGAAGTATCAAAAAAATGTGGCAAAATACCTCCCTTTCCAAGTGAAAAAAAACTCCGGTTTCAAAAGTGTGCCCTTCGAAACGGAGTTTTTTGAGTTGGAGAGGGAGGCATTTTGAAACATTTTTTGATACTTCCCGGATGCAAAATAGTACGTTTTTGGCCACTGGGTCAGGTCCGGCACAAATACGCCGAGAGAAACACTTGACCCAAAATTTCCTCTTTGGGTCAAGTGTTCCCCTCAACCTCAAAACGTCCGTCACTGATTAAAAATAAGAAATTAAAATTCCAAAAATCTTTTTTTGTATTCAACAATCATCAATTTGACATACTTTGTCAATCTAATGTCAACTTGACTTCAAATTGACGTCATTTTCGTCACTATGGTTAAAATATAAAATTCTGATATGTATACGAAGCTTTCACACGAGAATTTAACATATGTAGGCTATGATGAATACCGTTACTATTAGTCGTAAATATATTTGTTTACGGCTTATTTCATCGGTTGTTTTGACAAGAATGAGCAATTTAATTCCTAAAAGTTCTAAAATTCCTACGATCTTTTAGCAAAAATCTACAAAAAATATTCAAAAAAATTCAAGTTGACAATCAAAATGACAGAACAATTTGACATGACAAAAATGACAGCAATTTGGGAAAAATAAAATTTAAAAAATTCTTTTTTTTTTCTTAAAAGATCCAGCCAAAAAATCTTGAAAAAATGCCATGTAAAGAGCTAAAAGCAGAGAAAATGTGAAAACCGAACGCCAAAAAAATTCTCCAAGCGAGGAAATGAAAAATGGGGCGAAAAAACGCCGCTTTTTTGCAAACATTTGATAAAACGGGCCAATTTTCTAATTGAAAAAAGCAAGAAAAGGTCTGATAAAGCTGCTCGATAAACTTTTAAGAGGATTAATAAAAGTATATCAGAGAAATTAGGGAGTAACCAGTCAAAAAAAAACCGTGAAATTCAAAAAGTTTGAGTAAAAATGAGATTTTTTGACAATTTTGGTCGAAAAAAGTAGTTTTTAACTGAAATTTGAAAGATTTTTTTCTTTCTTTAGGCAGTTTAATGGACCACACAATAGATTAGGCTCCTGGCGTTATCAGAGAATTTTTTTTGGAAGGTTTTTTGAAGAAGAAATTATCAAAAAGAAGAAAAAAGGTGACCTAAAACCAGGTCAAATTTTGGAAAGGGGAAAAAACTTTTTGTAACGTACAGTGGCGGACTTGACAGAGTGACAAAAAACGTACCATTTTGCATCCAATAAGGATCAAAAAATGTGGCAAAATGCCTCCCTCTCCAACTAAAAAACTTTGGTTTGAAGAGCGCGCCCTTGAAATCGGATTTTTTACTTGAAGAGGGAGGTATTTTGCTGCTTTTTTGATACTTATCGGATGCAAAATGGTACGATTTTTGCCACTGGATCAGGTCCGGCACAAATACGCCGAGAGAAACACTTGACCCAAAATTTCCTCTTTGGGTCAAGTGTTCCCCTCACCCTCAAAACGCACCTGTCGATAAAGCGTAAGGTCGAACATGGTCTCAAACTCCTCTTCGGTCATGAAAATGTCCGCATACGGGAATGAGCACCCTATGATTTTTGCCACTGGATCAGGTCCGCCACTGTACGTTACAATAGGTTTTTTTCTCTTTTCAAAAATTTGGCCTTGTTTTAGGTCAACAGGCACTGTGTGAAAGCGAAAAAATGTCCATTCACCTTATGAAAAAATTATCAGTCTGTCGGGAAAATAGTGTGTGCTCTGTCGCATCGAAAATCGCATCGCCGTCGAGAAAATGGGTTGTGTCGCGACAAAATAAGATTGCTTTTCACTTCAGCGACGCGATTCGCGAAAAGCGCTCACTATTTTCCGACAGACTGATAATACGGTGGGTTCGTTTTTTCAGCTCCATCGTATCCACATATGACAATGACAAATGCCGCTACACCAAACTTATTGATGTGGGCCCAATGGGAATCAAGCACTGGACAATTTCCAAAGAGAATTAGAAGATCGTCAGTGCCTCCGAATGGTTGGATAAAGGCTCGGAAAAAATTTATGATTTATTTTTTTTGACGGTATAATTTGTTTGACAATAAAACTAACAAGAGGAGGCTTCCAAAGCGTGACGCTCAGATTTTCTTCCTTGCCTATGTGAAGGCATAGGCCACATCAATTTCAGAAAATTTTGGCTTGCGCTTTGCAGGTGGCGCCGAGATATTCAACGATCTTTGCCGCCGAGAGAGTTCGCAAAAATCAGCGTCTGCTGGAGAGTGGACAATACACTGATAAATGGAAGCAACATATAAAGGTGGTCATATAAGAATTAAAAATTTTGTTTCCCAAATCGCGATTTTCGGTCATATGCGGTGCTGACTTAAGCACTTAAGTCTTCGGTGCAGACTTAAGACTTTGTGCACTGATTTCGAAAAACTTAGAAAAATTTACCGGATTTCAGAATTCGGTGCCGAGAAAAAAAGTTGACGCCAGTTTATCGATTTGGGCGTCCACTTTTTTGTGCACCGAAAATCGCGATTTGGGAAAACGAAATTTTTAATTCTTATATGACCACCTTTATATCAGTCTGTCGGGAAAATAGTGGCGTGTCGAGAATTGGAAAATAAAAAATCCTTTTTTTTTTGTAGCCTTGAAATTAAAACCTGCCAAAAATTCAGACAAATTTTAGCTGTCAATTACCAGTGTAGCCATTTTTCCTCATTTTTTACTCATTAGCGGCACGCTTTTGTCTTTTTAAGGAATGAGTTTATAAAAAATTGCGCAACTTTTTCCATGAGCTTTTTTTTGCTTTTTTTTGATTTGTAAGATAGATATGGAGGCCAGAGTAAAAAGATGGGAACTCAGGTAGTCTTTGAATTTTCTTCCTCATTCTGAGTAAAAATTTTTTTGCATAATGAAAATTTTTTTTTAATTTTTTGGTTGATTAAGGAAAAATAACGAAGATTGAGTATAATCCAGTATACTCACATAGTTTTATCCGTATTTTAAAATGTCTGTTTATTCAAAAAATCAGGCAATTTTTTCGTCTTTTTTTATTTTGAATTTCAAAAATTTTTGATGATTTCGAAAAATATTTGCGGAATGGCTCTTAACCTCACTCAATTTACCTCTAAAAAATTTTGAGAAACCGCACGCGTATTTTAAAATGCCATTTTCTACCAAAAAATTGGCCAAAAGTGACTTTGACCCCGACGTGATTCGAACACGCAACCTTCTGATCTGGAGTCAGACGCGCTACCGTTGCGCCACGGAGTCACATGTTCAAGCGCCCTTTGATTTTCGATGCATATTATTTTTTATTTGCATAGCTAACTTCCTCTTTTTTTACTTTTTTCACCGCACAGTGCGATCCAAAAAATAAGCGAAAAATCGATTTGCACAGTGCAATTTTTTGGAAAAATTTATGCATTTTTAAACTGATTTTTTTTTGAGATTCAGTTTTCTTTTTTCCAGACTATTTTTTTTTTGCAAATTGAAAAAAATTTTCGCACAGTGCGGCTCGAAAAATAGGCTAAAAATTGCTCTGCACAGTGCAGTCCAGAATATAGGTGAAAAATTGCTTTGCACAGTGCAAACCAAAAAATAAGCTAAAAATCGGTTTGCACAGTGCAGTCCAAAAAATAGGCTAAAAATCGGCTTGCACAGTGCACTTTTTTGGAAAAATTCATGCATTTTAAAACTGATTTTTTTTGAGATTGATTTTTGTTTTTTCCAGTTTTTACTATCTTTTCTCTCAGTATTTTCCATATTAAAAAATTTCTCGCACAGTGCGACCCAAAAAATTGGTGAGAAATCGGTTCGCACAGTGCAATCCAAAAAATAGACAAAAAATCGTTTTGCACAGTGCAGTGCAGAAAATAGGCCAAAAATCGCTTTGCACAGTGCAGTCCAAAAAATAGGCTAAAAATCGGCTTGCACAGTGCACTTTTTTGGAAAAATTCATGCATTTTAAAACTGATTTTTTTTGAGATTGATTTTTGTTTTTTCCAGTTTTTACTATCTTTTCTCTCAGTATTTTCCATATTAAAAAATTTCTCGCACAGTGCGACCCAAAAAATTGGTGAGAAATCGGTTCGCACAGTGCAATCCAAAAAATAGACAAAAAATCGTTTTGCACAGTGCAGTGCAGAAAATAGGCCGAAAATCGCTTTGCACAGTGCAGTCCAAAAAGTAAGCTAAAAATTGATTTGCACAGTGCAGTTTAAAAAATAGGCTAAAACTCGTTTCGCACAGTGCAGTCCAGAAAATAAGCTAAAAATCGGCTTGCACAGCGCACCTTTTTGGAAAAATTCATGCATTTTAAAACTGATTTTTTGAGATTGATTTTTGTTTTTTCCAGTTTTTACTCTATTTTCTCTCAGTATTTACAGCATTAAAAAATTTCTCGCACAGTGCGACCCAAAAAATAGGCTAAAAATCGCCCTGCACAGTGCAGTTTTCTCTCAATATTTTTTCTCGCCTAATCGGCTTACCGTAATTAATCAACCCTTTTCGTTTGATTTTCTTATCCATGCCACCTTATTTGTCGCCTTTTTTGGTGATGAATCGAAGCGGCATTTTCATTGAAAAGAGACCGCCGAATCACTTTTATTGACTTTAGATCAAGACGATTGATATGGCGCGTTAATTAAGCAATTAGAAGGGTTTTAGCACTTTGGGGTCGTCGGTGTTGCGTTGTGTATCTTTTTTTTGATTTTTGGGAGTGGATACTGTAAAAAAAAAATCTGGAAATTTTAAGATTTTTTGATTTTTTATGGAAAATTACAGTAATCTGGCATTACACAATGTATCAGTATTTCCATATATACTTATTTTGACTTGAAATTCCATTTTTCATTCACTTTCTGCTTGAAAAACTGCTGCACGGTGCGAAAATCCCAAATTATTTTTTTTGCACTGTGCATAAAGTTTTTTTC